AAAGCCTAGACAAGCAAAAACCTCCCAAGCACCCCCGGGTGGATGGGACTCGTTAGCCTTGGACTTGCCATCTAAGAGAAGGCGAGCCCTGAATTCAAACCAGGAGTTAGAATGATCGTGGTACCTCAAATGTATGGAATAAATTGTAATAATATTAGTTTGATGTAAAATAACTTTAGTGAGGATATTACAGTGAGAGTCAAATAATGCCCACCATTAAGCCAATTATCCGTGACGTTTGTTATCCGAACTCCCCAAGACTTATATTATTTATTTTGTTTATTTTACGCCTCACGCATGACATGTATAACAAACACCGGTCAAAAAATTCCGAACCCTGTCCCACAATCCATTCTCTTCGTATAAAACCGGTATTTCTCTCAGTAATCGGAAGTGGGGCGCAATCGTAATCGCCTGTGTAAAGCGGATGGTCTTGAAAGATGTTCCGAATGTGCACCGGTTTCATGTGGTCCACACTGTTTTTACTGGTGTTTGGTGACACAGGTGTGTGAACAGTTAAACACGCTGTGTGTGTGCTTCTCAATTAAACAAGGGAGCTGTACTCACGTCATCCATTCAAAAAGTACAGCGGAACCCCGCTATAACGCGATAAAAAGGGGTTCAAATTCGAATCGCGTTTAAACAGGGTCGCGTCAATGCTAGGTGAACAATATTCCGTAAGAATAACGTTGAGATTTTTTTTTTAAATAGTAAAATAGCTGTTTGTTTTTAAGAAAAAACGTTATTTTTACATCTGTTGTGTTCTTGCGATTTTGACGTTGGACATGTTGAAGTGAATTTGTGATAGAGTTGTCTATTTGAATGCTTTTTTTTTCCCCAGTAAGTAAAATAAAAAGAAAAAAAATCACATGCCAATGAATGAGCTGTGCAAATTAAATGTACACCGGTGGAGTAGCTAGGGTTCGAGGCGATGGAACGCGGAACAATTTTTGCCGCCTAAACCCCACCCTCTTTATTTTTCCCACGAAAAAAAAAATTGTGCAGTTTACCGAAAATGCGGTTTCATTTATGAAAAAATGCCACTAGGGGTGGCCGACCCCCTCCCTACGCCAGTGAATATACATCTTAATTTATTTAATGTATATAAATGCCATTTTTTTTAAAAGCAACATTTTTTTGTATGGCTTTTTCAAAATAATACTGAAACTTTGGTCTATATGAAGTTGTCATTTCTTCTGTTTATGAGCCCGGTGACATTCGGGCAGCCTGGGCCGCTTCTGCCTGTGATATTTAGGCAACCAGTGCCGCTTCCGCATGTCATATTTGGGCCGCATGTGTCGCCTCTGCCTGTGATATTTTGGCCGACTTGCCTGCTTCTGCATTGCAATAATACTTCCCTATGAAATCTTCACTTGCCGTTAACGCTCAAAAACAGTAATAATATATGTCACAAATATAGTTCATGATCATATCGCACGAAGATGATTGGCATAAGAGGATAAAAAAAAATTCTAGACTATCTAATAAGAATCAAAACCTAATTGATTTAAAATCGTGTATCGTTTCTAGCGTCTTCACGACCACAAGATTAGGAAACAACTTTACACAACCAATGAATTAAAACATCACTAATGTCTCGTGCTCAGTTCACACGATCAAATTTGATTCAAATGTTCGTTAAGTTTCTTTTTGAACGCACTATTTAGTAAAACAAAGAATATGCACCGCAAAGAAAGACCGCGTCTCCAAATTATGTTTTAGAAGAAAGAAACTTTTACATATTCGTCTAATCGTTCTTTATAAAGTGTGTGGAATGCATTCCCCCCATCGTGGCCATGTGCTGGAGCTATTGAAGCTTCACCCCTTATTCACACTTTGGCCTTTTTCGGTTTAATGTTCCGTATAAGTCCTTTGTCTAACATTACAGTTTTTTTTGTTTCATTCATTGGAATAGTCAGCTTCTAATGACTAAATGGGAAGTTCTGGCTCCCTGAAGCGAACCTGCTTCTGTGCCTTTAAATGAACATGACAAGACTAAATCATTTTTTTTTTGTTTTTTTTTTTTTCTTTTTTTGTCAATGAATTTTTTTTTTTTTTTTTTTTTTGCATTTCCGCCAGGCCCTTTAATACAGAGTAAACTATTGGGTAAGTTAGGGTTTCCGATTGCTTCTCTGATTTTGTCAACGGCCCTTCTTTGTCCCGTGAGCAATTGAAACTTTTCTTGGAAGATTTGTTTTCATAAATGGGATCGTGAATTTGTCCAGAATGCATTCATGACCCTTACTCTCAAGAATGTCATGCTGTATTTAACTGGTGTTCGGTTTTCTCGATTTGCATTTAGCATTTCGTGCTGTTCAAATTTGAGCATCTCACAGCAAATGTTCCCTCTAAGGTTTGTTGGTTCGTGTGCAAATTCATACAGTTGTGTGGAAAGTTTTACAGCATCAATTTTTTTGTGTGCACAATTTTACAGCCCACAAACACAAACAAAAACTTACATGGAAATTTGCTGCGCGGTACTCAAAACTGCTGCGCGGCGTCTGTGAGATAGCTGCGCGGCCGCGCAGCTGCGCCGCTTAAAGGGAACATTGCTCACAGGCAAAAACGCCACCAATACAAACTATATAGAAACAGCGACACACATAATCTCTACACCAATTACGCTCACTAAAAAATAGTTATACCGATGACTGAAACACTACCTATAATACAGCCTCAAATTATAGATGTGTTTATCATCAGTCATCGTCCATCACTGCACCATGGACAGCGTTGTGCTGCTTTGCAAGGTGGGGCTCGACATAAAAAAATGTAATGAAAGTATCTTTTAAAGTGTCAGGAATGGGGAAGTCATCCTATACATCGGTATTGATTGAAGTATTTAAATCCTTAATTCATAATCCTGACAGAAATACAATATATTTAGACAACTTTTTTTACCTCTAAAATATCATATATTAAAAACAAAAAATGGCAACAACAATATTCGACTCTTTATTCAAAATAAATTTAAAAAATCACCAACTCTACTCCAAACTTTAAAAAAAAAAAAAAAAGTTTGTCATCTTTTTTTTTAACATGCCAGAGACAACATTTTACAGTGACACTAAACTAATGTAATGTGTCAATAAACTGATGTAAAGTGACACTAAACTGATGTAATGTGACACTAAACTGATGTAAAGTGACACTTAACTGATGTAATGTGACACTAAACTAATGTAATGTGTCAATAAACTGATGTAAAGAGACACTAAACTGATGTAATGTGACACTAAACTGATGTAATGCGACACTAAACTGATGTAATGGGACACTTAACTGATGTAATGCGACACTTAACTGATGTAATGCGACACTAAACTGATGTAATGCGACACTAAACTGATGTAATGTGACACTAAACTGATGTGATGTCACACGAAACTGATGTAATGCGACACTAAACTGATGTAATGCGACACTAAACTGATGTAATGCGACACTAAACTGATGTAATGTGACACTAAACTGATGTGATGTCACACGAAACTAATGTAATTCGACACTAACATATGACACTAAACTGATGTAATGTGTCAATAGACTGATGTAATGTGACACTAAACTGATGTAATGCGACACTTAACTGATGTAATGTGACGCTAAACTGATGTACTGTGACCCTAAACTGATGTAATGTGACACTAAACTGATGTAATGTGAAACTAAACTGATGCAATGTGAAACTAAACTGATGTAATGCGACACTAAACGGATGTACTGTGACCCTAAACTGATGTAATGTGACACTAAACTGATGTAATGTGACACTAAACTGATGTAATGTGAAACTAAACTGATGCAATGTGTCAATAAACTGATGTAACGTGACACTAAACTTATGTAGTGTGACACTAAACTGATGTAATGTGACATTAAACTAATGTAATGCGACACTAAATTGATGTAATGTGACACTAAACTGATGTAATGTGAAACTAAACTGATGTAATGTGTCAATAGACTGATGTAATTTGACACTAAACTGATGTAATGGGACACTAAACTGATGTAATGTGACACTAAACTGATGTAATGTGACACTAAACTGATGTAATGTGACACTAAACTGATGCAATGTGTCAATAAACTGATGTAATGTGACACTAAACTGATGTAATGTGAAACTAAACTGATGTAATGTGACACTAAACTGATGTAATGCGGCACTAAACGGATGTAATGTGACCCTAAACTGATGCAATGTGACACTAAACTAATGTAATGCGACACTAAACTGATGTAATGTGACACTAAACTGATGTAATGTGACACTAAACTGATGTAATGTGACACTAAAGTGATTTAATGTGACTCTAAACTGATTCAAAAACACATCTATTTCGCAAACACCTTCTGGGTTGATGCTATCTACCATCTTTTTCCATTTAATGTATTTTGGATTGTGTTGCTTATGGTTGAAATGGGGTGAAAGACTTTGACTTGGTATGCTCGTATGTACTTTTTTTAAAAATGTTGCGTCTGTTTTTAAATGTGGTAAATTTTAGATTGTTTTTATTTCTCTTTATAATATGGTTTGAATTTGTACCGCGCTTCGAGCTTTTGGGGGATGAAGCGTGTTTTTCAAATAAACTTTATTATTATTATTATTATTATTAATGTGACACTAAACTGGTGTAATGATTTCATCATCTGATATTTTTTCACAATTAAATAGCACGAAGGAAAAGAATATAACAAACACATTAAACTACTTTTTAGTGTGAGATTGTATCTCCTTAGTTTTTAGTATAGTTTCACACCCAGACACACATGAATGCGACCAAATGTTTAACACGCGATTTTCAAAGGACTCCAAAGCTATGTATTATGTTTGTGATTATTTTATTAAACATGCTCTGTGACACATAGAAATTTCAAGAAAAGCAATGATTTTAGTTGTTTTTTTTTTTAATGCGATAATCGAAACGTTTTCAAAATGTAATTTAACGAAATATCTATGCAAATCTTATTTTTTTAAAGCCAAAAAAAGATTGGTCGCGCATCTGTCACAATATCTTTACATGTCCTTTGTTTAAAAAATTCTCGTTGAATTAGTTCCACTATCAAACGGCGACCACTTGCATTGTAACCCTTTAAAAACGGCGTTTCTAATTTTTACCAGTGCTTGAACATAAGAAGACGCGCTGGAAGGTTCCCCTGAACTTGGAGTTGAACTTGATGTAAATGAGGAAGTTGACGCACGTGTTCAGGTAGCAGCACGAGTAGCTGAACCCAATCATGACGTTGTAAATGCGTTTGTAGCTTCGCCCGGACATGAACTCTGGGACGATGACCTGTGCGAGGCTGTTCATGGACTGCACGAGGACGGCGAGAAGAAGGAAACTGGCCACAGCCGTGACTTGCTTGACGATCTGGATCTCCTTACTGCTCAGGGTGTGAGCTTTGGCTAACTTCAGCCGTTTGGTGGAATAATTGTGGCTTCCAATGTGATAATCTTCGATGACATCTTTTGTATTTATGTTCATCCTATGGACCAGATTTTCAATGTCCTTTTTGTTCTTCGCCAAAGCCTTCCCGGTCATGGCCCTGCGATTCCTGGACGCGACGATCAAAGTATAGGTCAGGATGACGGAGCAAACCAGAACGACGATGAGCAAGATGGTGGGAAAGATGTTTCTGTTAATGAGTTCGTAAACTTTTTTCACGCTGTTAAAATCGTCCGAGAACCACGCCAGCAATCGCGTGGTGTTGTTCAAAGGGTTTGTGACCCAAGCAAGGCCAGTGGTTCTCAAAATGGGGATCCTGTTTCCCACGCTGAATGAGATCAACCCGCTCAGAAACACGAGCGTTCGCGTCACCGTGAACGTGTGTTTGAACTTCAGAGCTATCGCCACACAGCAGCACCTGGCCAGGCCGATGTACGCGATGATAGCCATCGATATTTCCAGAAACATTTCTTGATACCACGCGATGTACCCGCCCAGGAAGTACACGCCGACGGGCAGTGAGCTCTGCCATGGTTGTAGGCCGATGGCCCCCGTGGTAGCCACGGCGATAGAGAACAGCAAGTAGAGGAGTTCCGTCACGGAGAGGACGAAGAACGAGACGGACACGCTGTCATGGAGACCCATCTTTGTGAAGACCACGATGTTGATCATGTTACTGACCACGCCGAACAGGATGAGGAAAGGCCAGAGAAAGTAGAACAAGAACGACAAAATGGCGAGATTGGCCTCGACGCTGAGGTCCCCTGTCGCAGTAAGGAGAGTTGGGGTGATATTCAAGGACACCATGTCCAGTGATCCGATAAAAAGACATTAAACGAGACGAGTTTATGCATCACCTTGTTAACGAGGTGTCTTCTTAGCTTACTATCAATATTTTATATCGAACTGTCGACCCAGAGGAAGCCAAGCGAGGAAAGAGCAACCCAATTAATAACTGGCTATGAGAATTACATTTGTAAGATTATACTTCTAACACCTCTTAGGCAAATATTTATCTTTTATTTCAAAAAACGAAATGACGCAGTAAGCTACGCATTGTTTAATATCAGTTCGGGTGTAATTATTTCTTATCCAAAATTGATTTTTAAACATGAAACACAAATCGTTCAAAGCTGAAAGCAAAAATAGGGTTATAGCTTAAAGACCAATTAGCGCCTCTTCGACCGTGGCACCGCAAGCACGTATCTGGGTTTACGTGTTATGTACGTATCAATTATTTTTCTAATTGTCCATAGCCTTCACATTGTTTCGTTTTCTTTTCAGGCTGCGGGAAAATTATAGGCCTACTTTTGAAAACTTCAGATGCTATTTAGAGCAGGACCGGCGCTGGGTGGTTGCGGGGCCTTGGGCGAATTGAATTTTGGGGGGGGGGGGGGGGGGGGGCATTGACGTCATATTGGCCTACACCGGCCTAGAGGTTACTTATATTACGGCACGTCATAGTCATACCGGGTCTTACTGGTCTTAAGATGGGACACGAGCATACCGGGTCTTACTGGTCTTAAGATGGGACATGAGCATACAGGGTCTTACTGTCTTAAGATGGGACACGAGCATACCGGGTCTTACTGGTCGTAAGATGGGGCACGAGCATACCGGGTCTTACTGGTCTTAAGATGGGACACGAGCATATCGGGTCTTACTGGTCTTAAGATGGGGCACGAGCATACCGGGTCTTACTGGTCGTAAGATAGGACACGAGCATACCGGGTCTTACTGGTCTTAAGATGGGACACGAGCATACCGGGTTTAGGTTTAACCGCTTAGCTTACAAAATTGTAATTATTATTTTTTTATTGTAACAGTTGATTTATCATGAGTCGAATTAACCATCGCGCCTAGCTTGCTGCTAATATCCTGGTGGTTACAAATACCGAAAATTACAAAGCTGACTGAACTATACACTCTCAAAGAGACTTGCGTAAAAATGAATGTTTAATGTCTCACCACCTCAAAGACCGAAGAACTTCTCGGACCGTTGTAAACGAATCAAACATTTGGTTGATCACGCCCTCCCTCCCCCTCACATTTCGTCACGGCCGATCCAGTGGCGTAGAAATGAGTGTGTGGGGGCGTGCGGTCCGCCTCTGGCGTCACATTTGTAAACATTTATATGGAACGGTGGCCTTTTCGACTGACTGCAGTGTTTTTATTTCGTGGAAGTGGACGGCCAGTTCTTGGCCCGCCCCAGGCGCCACTAACTGGGCCACTCGGCCGATCCGACCGTTTTCTTCTTCTAAATATCCACTGTATATTAAAGAGATCATCTAAAAAAAAAAATTAAAAAATTGCGAATTTCTTTATTCTCTCTAATTCCACAGAGCCTACTATCATTGAATTAGCTTCTTCTTTTTAAGTTTTCTAAATGCAGCTTTATTGGTATTAATGATTAATTCTGTAAAGAGCCATTTCTCGTTCTTGCTTTGTGATAATCGGAGAATATTCATTTTGGAATCGCTTCTGTCACGTCTGATGATATCGCTTGTCGTCTGATGATATCGCTTGTCGTCTGATGATATCGCTTGTCGTCTGATGATATCGCTTGTCGTCTGATGATATCGCTTGTCGTAAACTTAAAGTAGGCTTTCTGAATTTCTTTTCAGTTATTTTTTTAAAATTTTAAATCACGTCATACTGCTAGCGCCACTGCTATCGCCACTGTAGTCAAAATAAAATTGGTGTGAACAGAAACAGGTCTACTCCAAACAAACCCACCATTTTACATAAAAACTCCTGCCACCCTTTGCCAACCTCCTAAAGAAAAACCCATCTTTAAAAAAATATATATTTAACCCCCAAAAAATAGAAATAACTTTTATAAATGTATCAACTCACTAAGAGTTGTCCTGTAGCTATACTATATGTTTCTTGTATTTGAGCAAGAGCATACCGGAAATAACTTTTATAAATGTATCAACTCAATAAGAGTTGTCCTGTAACTATACTATATGTTTCTTGCATTTGATTCACGGAAGTAATTGAAGGTTTTAAAAATAATACACCAGCTTTAGGAATCCATGTTTTTGCATTGTGTACTTCTGCCGACAATTAAGTTTGTGTAATAATAATGGAGTTTTATTAACATCAAGTACATAAGCTTAATTTTTTTTATCCCCCCCCCCCCACATAAAAAAATGTGTGTATAGCAATTATTCAAATGTACAAATGTAGGTTTTAAAACTTTCTTAACTTCAAAACGATCAAAATAATTGAAGGTTTTAAAAATAATACACCAGCTTTAGGAATCCATGTTTTTGCATTGTGTACTTCTGCCGACAATTAAGTTTGTGTAATAATAATGGAGTTTTATTAACAACAAGTACATAAGCTTAATTTTTTTTATCCCCCCCCCCCCCACATAAAAAAATGTGTGTATAGCAATTATTCAAATGTACAAATGTAGGTTTTAAAACTTTCTTAACTTCAAAACGATCAAAATAAACAATTATGATCAAACTTCATTATGGGCTGAAAGTGATCTCAGTGTTGAGAACCTGTGAAACACAAACTGAAGTATTGTTTCTAATACTGATAGTTTCATAAATTCATCAAGTAAAATCTTAATATTTAATTTTATAAAACCTCTTTGTCGATGTCAACATTTTTTACTATCCAAAGATATGTTAAGACAGAATTTTTTTTCATCAAGATAATTTAATTAAAACATCATGTTTTACAATTGAAAAAAAACCCAAACAACATGTATTAAAATTAAAACCAAAACTATGTCTAGTCTATATGTACAATCATTATACCATTCAAAAGCCTGATGACAATAATAATTATGTTACATTATGGTAAAATGTGTTTTGTCTACTAACTTTGAAATGGAGGTTAAGACACTACTCCCTTTTCATTTTCATTCCAGGGCTTCATATGAATACATTCATCTAAGGTTTCATATGAATACATTCATCTAAGGCTTCATATGAATACATTCATCTAAGGTTTCATATAAATACATTCATCTAAGGTTTCATATAAATACATTCATCTAAGGTTTCATATAAATACATTCATCTAAGGTTTCATATAAATACATTCATCTAAGGTTTCATATAAATACATTCATCTAAGGTTTCATATAAATACATTCATCTAAGGTTTCATATAAATACATTCATCTAAGGTTTCATATAAATACATTCATCTAAGGTTTCATATAAATACATTCATCTAAGGTTTCATATAAATACATTCATCTAAGGTTTCATATAAATACATTCATCTAAGGTTTCATATAAATACATTCATCTAAGGTTTCATATAAATACATTCATCTAAGGTTTCATATAAATACATTCATCTAAGGTTTCATATAAATACATTCATCTAAGGTTTCATATAAATACATTCATCTAAGGTTTCATATAAATACATTCATCTAAGGTTTCATATAAATACATTCATCTAAGGTTTCATATAAATACATTCATCTAAGGTTTCATATAAATACATTCATCTAAGGTTTCATATAAATACATTCATCTAAGGTTTCATATAAATACATTCATCTAAGGTTTCATATAAATACATTCATCTAAGGTTTCATATAAATACATTCATCTAAGGTTTCATATAAATACATTCATCTAAGGTTTCATATAAATACATTCATCTAAGGTTTCATATAAATACATTCATCTAAGGTTTCATATAAATACATTCATCTAAGGTTTCATATAAATACATTCATCTAAGGTTTCATATAAATACATTCATCTAAGGTTTCATATAAATACATTCATCTAAGGTTTCATATAAATACATTCATCTAAGGTTTCATATAAATACATTCATCTAAGGTTTCATATAAATACATTCATCTAAGGTTTCATATAAATACATTCATCTAAGGTTTCATATAAATACATTCATCTAAGGTTTCATATAAATACATTCATCTAAGGTTTCATATAAATACATTCATCTAAGGTTTCATATAAATACATTCATCTAAGGTTTCATATAAATACATTCATCTAAGGTTTCATATAAATACATTCATCTAAGGTTTCATATGAATACATTCATCTAAGGTTTCATATAAATACATTCATCTAAGGTTTCATATAAATACATTCATCTAAGGTTTCATATGAATACATTCATCGAAGGTTTCATATAAATACATTCATCTCAGGTTTCATATAAATACATTCATCTAAGGTTTCATATAAATACATTCATCTAAGATTTCATATAAATACATTTATCTAAGGTTTCATATAAATACATTCATCTAAGATTGCATATACATACATTTATCTAAGGTTTCATATAAATACATTCATCTAAGGTTTCATATCAATACATTCATCTAAGGTTTCATATAAATACATTCATCTAAGGTTTCATATAAATACATTCATCTAAGGTTTCATATAAATACATTCATCTAAGGTTTCATATAATTACATTCATCTAAGGTTTCACATGAATACATTCATCTAAGGTTTCATATGAATACATTCATCTAAAGTTTCATATAAATACATTCATCTAAGGTTTCATATAAATACATTCATCTAAGGTTTCATATAAATACATTCATCTAAGGTTTCATATAAATACATTCATTTAAGCTTTAGAAGCATCTTGGTAGAATGGATCATCAGCACTGATGCTTTTGTCACTTCTTTCCTGGGGAAAAATAATTGTGTTAAATTAAAAGCAGTGTTTACAGGGTGGTTTGTCTGTAGTGAAAGAAAAGGTTTCCATGAAAAAGCATTAAACCAATTTTATGATAGAGATCAATGAAGAGGTGAATGAATTTTAAAAGGTTTTAAGGTGGATTCATTCATTCATCAGATGGAAAGCAAGAAAAAATTTCCTCTGACAATTTTTTTTTTTACAAATCATTTCACCAACTGATGAACTGTAAGAAAATTTGTTGTAACATCCTAGTGTGACAATTCACAAAATGTAATACCCATCACCATCACAAATAACATTCCATTACAACTTTTTGGTGTGTCCATCTGTATGCCTATTTGTATTAAAAGCTCTGCAAACCACTGGCACCGCCGTCTGATATGTTTTAAAAACTTTCTAAAGCCCAATTGAAAATTAAAAATCCAAAATCCAAATTGTATGTACTTACAACAGTCAAGTCTGTTACAACAGACTGTAAGCTTTTGAAGTCATTTGATTCATTAGCTTCTCCATGCTGTATCAATACGATACAAAGTAATCATGAGAGTGTTGGACAGCCAATAGGATACAAAGTAATCATGAGAGAGTTGGACAGCCAATAGGATACAAAGTAATCATGAGAGTGTTGGACAGCCAATAGGATACAAAGTAATCATGAGAGTGTTGGACAGCGACAAAGCTTTCAAGTAGATTACTAAGGCACAAACCACTTGTCTAAATAAAACAATATGGGTTCAGCTTTACATACTGATAAGGGAAATACAAGTTTTAATGCAAACGTTTCGATACGGAGTAAAACAATACGGAGTAAAACAGACTGATAGGGGAGGTTGCGAAACAAGGCACTGCTACTTCAATATGTTAAAATATGTTCACTCATAGTGTCACAGTCAGATTATGTGATGTAGTTCTGCTGTGTCGTGTCCTGATGTTTGGGATATTACGTGAGTGAAGGAGTGTATTTTTTTTAACCTTATATTTTCCTTTAAGCATGAATTTAATTAATTCGGCCACATATGATGGTGTCTGAGTGATGATTAAAAACCTGGGTATAAAGGATATGTGCATTTTTTTGTGAGTGAGAGAGACACTTAGTAAAGTTGCTAGAGAGAAACGTGGTATTTTGGCTACGAATGAATCTTAGTATTTATTATAGGAGATTCTATATGAACAGATGTGTTTCTACTGTGAATGCCAGCAATTACTTTGTTAGGCATTTTGTAGACTGTGTTCCAAACAGAATATTGATAAATAATAAATCTGAAATTTTAACCATCTCGTGATTATTTGACTTCACACTAAACATCAGCTTTGTGGGGGCTAGGAGACAGCAACAGAGTTCTAGACTCTTAAAATTGTTTTCTGTTGCCTTACTAAGGGGATGTACTCCTAGACAATTTACTATTTGCCAAATGTGTACACATTTATAAGCTATCTTTGACAATGTACTAGTTGCCACATATGTGTATACTATCTACAGGCTATCCTAGACAATGTACTATTTAAATTTGCCACATATGTGTAAACTATAATAATATATAAGCTATCCTAGACAATGTATTATTCACCACATGTGTATACTATCTATAGGCTGTCCTAGACAATATACTATTGTTATACTATCTATAGGCTAATAACATTCTTTTTTATGGGTTTGTGTAAGCCAATCAATAACTTTGTTTCTTTAAAAAATGAATTTAAATACAAGTATTATTGCTTACGTATAAAGTTATCCACAGCGCCATACCCAAAATTATCTACATTCGCCATAACTAACCAACCCCAACAAAGGAGTGCATTTGTGTGTGTGTGGGGGGGAGGGGATGTGTGTGGTGATTTTCAGTATGTAGGCCTACTTAACATATACCGTACTTTATTGTTCTTTTAATACAAATTTATTTTTTTCTTTGTCTTTTCCATTGATTTTTATTACAAATTTAGCTTGAACATTGTTTTCATTGTTATGAACAAAACCAGGAATCATGGAATGCATTACCTATATTTATTGCGACTACGTTATGACAATATTTCACAAATTTCCCTTACTTTACTTATCTATTTAAATGGTTAAATTGAGTGTGTGTAAAAATATTTTTTTTTATTATTATCTTTCCCACAAAAGCAATACTTACTCCCCTTCCACTAGCAGCTGGGACCAGCTCAAAAGCTGGATTGAGACCACTGGCATGTTCTGTTTCATTGTCCTTCATTTTTTTAAAACCCCTAAAACATAAATTAAAATTGCCAAATTAAAAAAAAAAAAAAAAAAAAAAAAAAAAAAAAAAAAAAAAAAAAAAAAAAAGAAGGGGGAAAAAAAAAAAAAAAAAAAAAAAAAAAAAAAAAAACAAAAATTTTTAAAACCCCAAAAAAAAAAAAAAAAATTGAAAAAAAAAAAAAAAAAAAAAAAAAAAAAAAAAAAAAAGCAGTATAGAAGCATTTATATGGTGGTTGAAATCAAACAGCTAAGTGTACAAGGAGTGGAACCCTTTATGTGGGTTTATGTTTAACAATACAACTTAACTCTTGCAGACCCAATATTATAAATGGTGTATAAGCTTTGTTCCAAATACCATAGTTCAGACTTTAGAGAATGTGAATATTCTACTCATTCATAATTTTTTTAAAAATGAGTCTAATAATTAATTGAGATATAAAATAATTTAGTTTTCTAGCCATAATTAATTTTTTTTTTTTTAAATGAAACCCATAGAGAATTGATTAAACCTTTAGAAATGCACGTTTAGTGACTCGGCAGATGTTTTTTTCTCTTCCATATAGAAATATGCAAATGATTAAAATTTAAACTGAATAAAGTAGCCTAAGTATTTTGAAATCTTCTTTCTTTGAAACTGCATTTAAAAAAAAAAAAAAATGATGGATAAAAAATATATATGTTAACAGAGCCATCCGTTTTATATGGATGTCATGGTGACCCACTCACATTGTTCTTGTATGTCTTATATATAACACAAGGCTGGCAGCAATGATGATTGCAAACAAAAGGCCAGCCACAATCCCCACAGGAAGTTTCCAAGAACCTAAAAAGATATCAGATATACATAAAATGTTTTACAAGAAACCTAAAAAGTTTTGAGTTTTCTATTTTTATTACATTGAATTTTTATTTGTTTAAATTTGGGAAATATACTGAGGCCTTGAATATGTATTTGCATCATTTTATCAATGTCATAAACTGAGCTTTGCAGTGTACTTATGCTGGTCTGGGTATAGACTGTTTACTTATTCTGAGCTGGGGATAAACTTTATAATACAGCTTAAAATCATAACAAACGTTCAGATATAGGGTGGGTTGATTTAAAGAGGAAGATCAGAACAAAAGAAGAAAAAAGAAAAATCATAACTCAAAACCAATTTAACATTTTTCTTTTAATCTTAAACAGCTAAATTTTTAACCCAGTGCATTATTATATCATGCATATATTTTCACTTAAGGGACAAAACTTAATAGTTTCAACAACTTCCAAATTTAAAAAAAAATCTTAGGTGTCACCAAGTGGAGAACATGGTGAATTGTTTATATGAAGATCTATTGACAATAATTCCATTTCAATCACATACCAGAGCTGTCATCTTTGGATTTATTCAGCTCTGTTTGGTTATCAGTGGCTGAAGTAGATTTTATGCTGTTTGTTGAGATTATTCCGGTACTCAGAAAATCAAAATGGCCACTAGGTGACATTCGTCCTGACGTTGTACTGGAAAATAGAGTACTGCTGGGGGACCCAGGTTGTGTTGAATTTCCTGAAAGTGTAATAATTGGGTTTGTATCTGTTGAAGTTAAATTCCATTAACTGTTGATCCAGTGGTTAAATTGGATCCAGTGATTAAATTTTAAGCATCAATTAAAAAAGAAAAAGATACATTAAATGATGATTAGTTGGGATCTGGTAAAGCAGTGGTAGGTATATGGTGATGGGTGGTAGGTTTATGGTGATGTGTGGTAGGTGCATGGTGGTAAGGTTATAGGGATGGGCGGTAGGTGTATGGTGATGGGTGGTAGGTTTATGGTGATGTGTGGTAGGTGCATGGTGGTAAGGTTATAGGGATGGGCGGTAGGTGTATGGTGATGGGTGGTAGGTTTATGGTGATGGGTGGTAGGTTTATGGTAATGAGTGATAGGTTTATGGTGATGGGTGGTAGGTTTATGGTGATGGTGGTAGGTTTATGGTAATGAGTGATAGGTTTATGGTGATGGGTGGTAGGTTTATGGTGATGGGTGGTAGGTTTATGGTGATGGGTGGTAGGTATATGGTGATGGGTGGTAGGTTTATGGTAATGAGTGATAGGTTTATGGTGATGTGTGGTAGATGCATGGTGGTAAGGTTATGGGGATGGGTGGTAGGTGTATTGTGGTAAGTTTATGGTGATGGGTGGTAAGTGTATGGTGGTAAGTTTATAGGGATGGCTGGTAGGCTTATCATTGTCGGTCGTAGGTTTATGGTGATGGGTGGTAGGTATGTGGTGATGTGTGGTAAGGTTATGGTGATGGGTGGTAGGTATGTGGTGATGCAAAATACCAACACCCCCATTTTCTTCTGATTAAAAAAAAAAAGCGTTAACGAGATGATTTAAAGAAGAAATTAACATTTTACAAGATTAAAAGGGAAACAATTATTATTTTTATCTCATAATACCTCCCCCAAGATGGTTACTGTCAGGTGTCCCTAGTTTCTTACAGATACACATCTATATTAAGATCTTTAGGAAATTGTATACCATCTAGGATTTACAAAGTGACAACCAAAAAATAGCAGATACATTCTCACCTTCAACAGCAACATTGTACCACTTTTCAAAGTCTCATTAAACACTTTTTAAAAGAAGCCGCACAAATGTTATTTTTTTTTAATGAAAATATTTAATTTACTGAAAACAAGATTACATCTTACCATTGTCCGTAGAGCTGTTTGAGGGTGAAGTAAAAAAACTAGGAGGAGGTGTGGGCGACCCCATGTTACAGCCAGGCGAGAACGTCACATCATCAACTACAACACCACCATTGTAGTAGACTCCTTGCACTGCTTCCAAAACCAGCTGGTACCCACTGGTAGTTTGAACGGACACATCCAAACGTTGCCAGGCCTTGGGTCCAAGTGTAACATTCTTAAGCAGTTTAAGAGGAGTGGCCAGTGGTTCCCTAATGTAGACATTCAACAACCCTGAGTGGTTTCCCAAAGATGAATACCACAGTCTAACTTGACAGTCCTGTCCTGGTTGGTTCATAGCGTGAATCAGTCGAGATTTGTACCCACTGTATGGTTGTGAACTGATCACATAATGTCCACCGTCTGGAACTGAATGGTCAGGCATGTATTCTGTGTATGAAAGGAAAACAGAGGGTTGAACCAGTTTCCAGTTGCCGTCATCGTCTGTAGCCTGCTGCCAGCCGTCCATGCCCCACTCGAATGTGAACTCTCGGAATGAGTAGCAGAGGAAGGGGTCTTCATCGGATCCATCGCAACAATCTCTGTTCAGGTCACATTTCAGGTCACTGGCTATACACTTCTGCTTGTCTTCACACAGAAACTGACCAGCCGTGCAATGATCTATAGGAGGTGGGAGGGAACAGTTTTCAAACTTGAAGTCGTCTAAGGAGATTGTGCCTGTTTTAGAATACACTTTGGATTCGGAGTCAAGGCTAAGCTGAAATCTAGAAGCACAACGTGGCAAAGGCACAGCGATGTAATGCCATGCGGATTGTGGATAGTCCAGTTGAGGTTTATTCCAAAGTGTGGCAAGGAGAGTACCCCCTGAGAAATATTTCAGAGACAGGTCTGAGATTGAACCTTGCTCCCAAAACCAAAAGCTAAAAGTGCAGCCATCTGCTGCTTTAAAAAATAATGGGGACTTCACTGAGGTGACAGTGTTGTCAGAAGTAATGTTGGCACTCAGTGCATGCCCTTTGATGTTGCCAGGGTTGTGGTCCATGGGAAACTGTCTGGGACCAACGCCAGCAACTGAAAAAGTCGTTGAGGTAATTTTTTTGTTTGGATCAGTCCATCCACAGGCACCTTGTTCAAAATCACACATGTTCGGGCAGTCTCTTTCATCGGTCCCATCATGACACTGGGGAGTCAGGTCACATATTTCACTGTTGGAGTGGCATGCACTGTCACAAGGGAAATATCCAACAGGGCAGTGACCAGGATCAGGTGTAGGGCGTGCATCAGGCAGCATGAATGAAGAAGAAACAGCCAATTTGCAACCAGGTGTTAACGATACATCATCCACTGACACACCGCTGTAGAAACCTTTCCTATTTAATGGCCCCACAATTCCTTCTATCAATATTCTGTACATCTGGTTTTCATTTAATTGTACATCCGCCTTTTTCCATTGGTTATCTGTAGCTCCTTGGCTAGACCACTTGATGTGGAGTTCTCCGTCCTCTTGGTATTGGACATAGACATTAAGTGAACCAGCATGATGGCTGTTCTGATAGTAAAAAAATCTCAAACTGCAAATGTCCCCATAAGTGTTTGGGAAAACAACCGAGGTCCGCAGTCTGGCTTTAGCATTATCAGATATGTTTTTTAAAGCTGGGTCAGCCAAGTACAAGATGTGTCCGGATTTCTTGAACAGCGAGTGGTCCCTTGTAGGAGCCTCTTCTGTGACTGCCAGATCTTGAGGGGAGCTCACTAACCATTTAATATCGGCTGTATTGTCAGGTCTCATGTCACACAGACCCAACTCAAAGTCGCAAATGTGAAAACTGCCACAATCGGCTTCATCACTACCATCACCGCAGTCTGCATGGACATCACACAGTGCATGGCTGTCAACACAAACTTTGCTAGCTGTGCACTGATATTCACCACTGGAACAGACTTGTTTTGGTGTTCCCACGGCACAATGGCTGCTGAATGTCACATCGTCGATGGCCAGCACAGTGTGAGGGGCTAAAAATTGTGCTTCAAACAAGAGTTTAAATCCGTGAGGTTGGTAGCCAACTGTGGCATTTATCTGAGTCCAAATTCCCACAGGAGTTAGATCCCTAAACTGTGACGTGTATATTAGGGATTTATCTGACTCAAGAGTGTGGTTGGCATCGAAGGACTGCAGCTGTAATGCTAAGGCCGTGCTGGCACCAACATCACTGGCGTAGACCCAGAAACTTAAGGCACACTGTGTGCTGGCTGTTCCCATGGCAACAGAGGTCAGCAGGGATGTGAGTTGCTGACTGTAGACCGAGTGAGTGAGAAGCATGTAATGCTGTGACAAAGCGCCAACCTGTGTGTGATCTTTATTTGGACCTTTCAGACTCAGCAGGGAAGTTGTGCTTACTTGGGCCCATGTGAAGGAGCCCCCGCTGTTGTCCATCCAGCCGCAGGTGCTGGTTTCAAAGTCACATGAGGCACAGTCTACCTCATCTGATCCATCGCTGCACTGGTTGATAAAGTCACAAATCTGTAACTGTGAAATACAGGTGACATCACCTGGGCACTGAGTCCTGCCATCAGGGCACGTTGTTGGAGGTTTGGTCGGGATGATGTAAGTATACACAGGGAATGTCCCATTAAAATCTTCACACTCTGGGGAAAATAATGTATCATCAATGGCTAAAACCCCATTAGGATCCGTTCCTTTGGTTACCTCAATAACAACTTGGAAAGGTTTGATTTCATTAATGGATAAAGTTTTTGTTGACCAATAGCTGAATCCAGGGCCAGTTCTTATAAATAACTGACGCAAGGGTCCATTAACAGCGTACCGGACATGAATTTGAAGGCTACCCAATGCCAGATCATCAATAAAGTAACTGAAAGAAAATGAACATTTGGAGGAAGGTCTGAATATTGGGCTGAGCAAACGTGCTTTGTTTTTGGCATGCCCTGCGTGTGACATAGTCGTAAGGAAATGACCAGATGGTGCGTTTGTGGAATGGTCGGTGAGTACAGAAAAAAAATGTGCAGCTGAATCTACGTACCAATCGAAGTCATCAGTTCCTGTCTCTTGACCCCAATAACAAGTATCCGATTCAAAGTCGCACCTCCTGAAGCCCCGGCAGTACTGGGGGCTTTCATCAGAATTATCTCCGCAGTCGTCTTGAAAGTTACACAAACCTGACCTGTCAATGCATGCAGTATTGTTGCAGACAATCTGAGTTCTGTCAAAAGGATTGCAGTCAGTGTTCCTTGGCAGAGCACAGTTGGTGAATGTAATGTCATCTATGAATATTCTCCCCTCAACATCTTCTTGCATCACAGCTTGTAGCGTCACTTTGAACGGCCTACTCATGCGGCCTATGAGAATCATCACATTTTCCCAACTACCAATGCCATTGTGTTTGGTGAAAACAATTGAGGTGTGAGTTCCCTCCTGTATGCTGACAGTGAGCATAATGCCCTTAACTGTTGAGTCCATGTAACAGCTGAAAGAAAGTACACAAGTGGGGGAACTCTGCTGAAGCAGGGGGCTTTCGTATGCAGCAGAAGCAGATGGCATTTTGTTGATTGTCAGGAAATGCCCACTTGTGATACCAAGAGTGTGATCGTTAACCTGCATGACGCCAGCAGCAGATGTGCCGATGACTTGGATCCAGTCAGTCACATCCACATTTTTCCAGAGGCAGGCTCTGTCTTCAAAGTCACAGTCATAACCACAGCTGACTTCTTCATTGTTTCCCGGGCAGTCTGTGTTAAAGTCGCATACTTGGCTTGCACCAATCCAAGTCTGTGAACTGTTGCAGTAGTAAGATTTGTATCTCTGCAGTGGTGGCGGCAGCAGCGAGCAGTTGCCTACTTGCAGTGATACGTCATCTAAGTAGATATCCCCATTGCTTGACCCTTTCACTGCTTCCAGGACCAGCTGATATTCTCCAACACTGGATGAAAAGTACTTGAGCGTTCTCTGGAACAGCTCCCATTTGCCAGTTTGTATTGTTGATCTCAAGTCTATGGAATCGGATTTGTGAGCTTGAAGGTCCGTACCATCGACATTTCTTGTGTTTAGGTTGATCAGGTGATTCCCGGCACCAAGTTTCGTCCACAGAGAAAGACAGTAAGTTGTGACTTTGTTCAGGTTTGGTGAGATCAGGTAGGCATTGTCTCCAGCAGAGGCGCCAGTCACAGCCATGTAGACACCGTGCATGGTGTTAGTGGTGTGATCTGTTCCCAGCCTTCTTATCCAGTCAAGTCCATCCCCATCCTCTGTGTTGTACCATGAGCAGAGCTCATCCTCAAAGTCACACGTGCCAAACTCTGGGCACTTCCCTTCCACAAGCCGAATATCATCAAGGGCCATCTGACCGAGAGGACCTGCGCCGCTGGTCACAGCTTCATATACGGCTCTGAACGTACCAGCTTGACCAATGGTCACAGTACCAAGCTGCCAGACATTCCCTTGAGAACCTGTTTTGGAAAAGCTTGACTCAGAATTTTGCGTGTTTGTTACCATGTCTTTTAAATACACATTAAATCTGTTTGCAGCCACACCTCCCATCAAATACCAGAAAGTTAAACAAGCAGCTGATGACGTCATGAAGTTCGTGGTTGTCACATGTGCTGCATCTCCCTGTTGCCGATCAGTGGTGTTAAAAAACAAGAAATGACCCTCAGATGAGCCTGTAGTGTGATCTCCTCTGATTGCGCCAGCGTTATTATTAAATGACAGGGCTGTACCTCTGGTCCATGGAAAGTATCCAAGGGGGTCATTGTAATACCCACAAATGCCATTCTCAAAGTCACAGAAATCAGATGGTGGACACTCACCCTGGTTGGTTGATATGTCATCGATGGCAGCGCCACCTTGCGAGCTGGAACTCTCGAATGAGATCACACCAGACCCGCTAACATCACCTATATGAACCATTGCAAATTTCCATTCAGGTCCCTGGGATCCTCGTCTTAACCAGTAGACAGTTTCAGAGTTAACCACAACACTGAGGTTACCCACATCGGAGCCATACATGAAGAACCAGAACTTCAAGCAGAGCTTACCTCCCAGGAATATACTTGGACTGAACAGATAGGCCGTCTTGACGTTGCCTGAAGAGTTTCTACTGTCTGCAGCAAAGCCTCCATTGACGCTGTCGTATGTGTGATCTGACATTGGAGCAATGAGAAGGTGCCGACCAATCTGCCAACCCTCATTTGCTGAAGTTAACAATGCTTTCCATTGGCAAAGATCAATCTCAAAGCTACATCCTAGTGGAGATGGTGGATAAATTTGTGACGTGGACTGTGGAGCTTGTGTTGATAAGACAGTTGAATATCCACAGGGATAATTTTGCAAGTGAACATCATCAATGGCAAGGTTTGAATCCAAATGTCCATCATGAATAACCTCAAACATAAAATCAAAATCTGCTTCCACCTGAAATTCAACCAGGAAGGTGGACCATTGGTTCTTAACAAAGGTGTCGACAACACTCATCAGAGTTTTGACATTTGTAAACACATTTCTTGAATAAATATTTAATGATTTTGATCCAAGACCGGTTCCCGGTGATCTAAGCTGTGCAGCGTATTGCAAGCAATTCACATTTGTCGCATTTGGATCAAACACAATGACCTCACTGAGTAGGACAGAAATTTCTCCCAGTTGTGTGCTGTTTGTTGATTGGGCTATTAGAAAACTGTCAGGAAATGTGTTAATAGGGTTGTCAGAATGGAGAACCCACTCAAAATGGTAGTTGTTAGGTACAGCTACAAAACTGCAAAGATCTTCATTGAAATTACATGTTCCAGGAGCTGGACAGCTTCCCTCTTCTAGAAGCAAATCATCTAAGGTGACATGTCCCTGACCTCCGTGAACTGTAGCCTTTATTTTTAGCTCATAAAACCCTGGTGGGAGGTTAATATTGATGCTAGCTTTTCTCCAAATATTTTCAGATGTTCCTTGAATCTTGAGCAGGTTTTGGGGTAGTTTGTCTTGATATTTTACATAAACGACCAGCTCAGCTGGTGGGGCGCTCATCATGTTGTACCACAGCTGAAAGCATATTGTGGTGCGAGAGCCGTTAGACCGCTGCAAGCTGCGTCCCAAAGTTGCAGTTCCGGTGGGTGAGGTTTGCAGATTGGCAAAATGTCCATCGGGGGTACCAAGCGTATGGTCAGTGTCGGGAGATGAACCAGCCACCGTTGTATTGCTTGCCATAATCCAGTATATCGTGTCACTTGAATCTTGAGTCCACTGGCAAAAGTCATTGTCTTCAAACGTGCACTCATTGGGAGCAGCACACGGACCCCGGGTGTATTCTATATCATCTATAGAAATATCTCCCATGTGGCCGCCAGTAACAATGGCTTTAATGGCCAGAGTGAAAGTGGTAAATGTCCTGACTTGAGCCAATGCTTGAATCCAATGGTTCGGAAGACTTCCCGTGCGATCGAAATCTACATCAACAACATTGTCCTGCTCATAAGACTCAACCCGCAGTTCACCGACGTCCGCTCCATTCATGTAGTACCAGAAACTTAAACAGCAATAATCAGTCACCGTGGCAGGCATTGGAGGACTAACCAAGATGGCTGAATCATTGTTTGTCCTTGCCTGGCTGGAGGCAAGCAGATAGAACCCTGAACCACTAATTGAATGGTCCTTTCTAGGCCCATTAGGTGTTGGGTCACTAGTTTTTGAAAATGTCCAATCAAAGACATCTTTGTAGGATTGTCTCCAACTGCACAAATTATGATTATCAAAATTACAATTGAGATTAATGACCTCTTCTCTCTTGGAGCAGGATTTGAACCGGATGCTGTCAATAGCGGCTATGTTTTGGTATGCAACGTCCTGGTCAGTTTGAAAGCCAATCATCAACTGCCAGCCCTTGTCCACGGTGATGTTGCTGAAGTCATATGTGGAGCTTTGCCAGTCTGGGGAAGTAGTGTCTTCAGTGCTTTTCAGCATCAGTTCTGTTGACGTTTCCTGGTTAAACGCACACAACATGAGGTTCCCGCTGATGGCTGGGCTAATGTGTTGAGCAAGGGTCACTGTACAAGAGCTGCTGATGCTAGGCAAGGGGCCACTGCTTAACCAGGCAGGTGAGCGACTCAATCCCAGGACTGGGTGGACATATAAGTAATGGCCACTGCTGGTTTTAAATGTGTTGTCCCCCGCAGGTCCAACTTTCCCCATCAGGTCCGGGGAGCTGATGCTCCAGTCTAGTGATCCAGTGCTGGTGCTGTAGTATCCACACATCCCAGCCTCAAACTCACATGGCCCACAGCTTGCCTCGTCAGAACCATCTGAACAGTCCGTTTGCATATCACAAATAAAATCCCTAGGTATACATTGTCCATCTGGGCACTGGTGGTCACCGAGGCATGAATTTGGAGTCACACGTTGAGTGGTCATTGTATAACCAGGGGTGGGCAGGGTGGATGTTGTGAACTTGCATCCATGACTTAACACCACGTCATCAATGGCTACAACAGCATCATGATTGAATTTCATGCCTTGGACCCCTTCAATAACAACCTGGAAATCCTTAAAAGAGACCAGAGGAATGACAGACCTCTCCCAGGCGTCCGTCTCTGAATTCTGTCTGGTAAAAAGTAAACTTTCATAGCCACCACTGGTTGTACGCAGATAAACGTTAAGAGATGTGCCGTAGTCCAGGTTAAACATGTTGTAGTACAATGTCAGCTGGCAGGAGGGGCCAGAGCTGATGGCCTGGATTGTGCTACTGGTCATCCTTGCTCTGCTGCTGGGGCCATCAACTGTGTTGTCAAGGAATAGAAAATGACCGCCTGACATCCCCGTCGTGTGATCTCTGGCCAATGGTAAATCATTGGTCATTCCTGAGCCCAATTTCCAAGTGACTTGTGCATGTTGATCCTGTTCCCAGACACACATTGACATTTCAAAATCACAAGAACTAGCCTGTGGATAAAATAGTCAAGAATTGTAACCAAAGCAACTGGTGATAGAGATAAACAAAAAAAAACAATGTTCGCTTACAATTTTATTACATTTAGTTAAAATTTGAAGCATTAAATTAAACATTTTCATAGACACCAAATTTATTTTCAGAATATTCCAGAAACATTTATTTTTAATTGTAATCTTATGTGCATCTTAACCAGAAATGCATTTCAAAGAACATGGTAAATCAAAGGCTAAAGATCATGTTAATATTATTGTTATGGATTATATTGAATAAGGCAACACTGAAAGGAAATAACTTTTGCAGGAGGTCATAAACAATAAGACAAGGAATGACAGCCCCCTAAAGTGACCTCATTGTTTGCTTTATTTGTATAAAAGTTTGCTCTATTTGTCCATTTTCAGAAAATCTGTTTCTTAAACATTTTATAATACACTGTATAGTTCAAAATTTGGTATAGTATGAGATCATGAAAATTTAGAATTCCTTACATATGAACAATTCATTTCATCACTATCATCCCCACAGTCATCAGAAAGATCACAAACAACTTTATTATTGACACAGAAGCCGCTGGAACATCTGAACATATTGTCATCACAGTCCATAGATGATCCTTTTGGGGGTTCACAGTTGATAAGACGTACATCATCTATAGCCACAGTTCCTTGAGCTCTGAAGGAGTAAAAGACACAAGCAAAGAGCTGTTATTATCCTGTCATGATTGGTATTCACAAATAATCTGCAGTTAAGCCTCCTGGAGCTCACAGTGGGAAAAGGATGACATAAAAGCTATTTCATTGCCATAATTGTTAATACTGATGTTTACAAATTCCCACCAACATACACAGTTGTTTTAAAGCCTATTCTTTTCTTCTAATGAATATTTTCAATGACATTCATGATAAAAAATTTGGCTCTTCAAATTGGTAGAAAGTTGAGAAATTCAAGTTTTCAATGTGTGTCTGTCATGGTAATGTAATGAGAACCTTCCTTTTCAGCTTCAGTCTATGATATAAAAAAACAAATTTAGAGACTAAAACAAAGACACACAATGGCATATTTGGTGTAAAACATTTATAGTTCAATAACAAACAATTAAGGTTTCAGCTATGATAATTTCTTGCAAGTCATTCAAAGTGACCCTTTTTTTGACACATAGTTTTGAAATTCTTACGTAAATGATTTACTGGCCATGATCAACAAATGGAAACCCTCATCAACGTAGCCAATGTCCACTTGAGCCAGATGCCAAGAATCTATGTTGTACACTTTATTTTGGTGGAAGCTCGTGGCGTAAGCACTGGTCTGCTCAAACTGATAAAAAAATTACATCAATGTTCAGTTGACTGGTTTTTTTTTTACATTTGAACTCACAGACTCACATTGGTTCAACGTATTCAATATAAGTAACAGTACCCCCTAATTGGGTTAACAAAGCTAAAAAAATCTCAGCTTTTAAGTGAAAATATCATAGTGTACAATTACAAATTACAATAGTTGCTTCTAAATACTAAAAAAGGATTTAACAATTTAGTTTGTTAACAATAGCCCATTAACTAAACGGCACCTAACAATGGCCCATTAACTAAACGGCACCTAACAGTGGCTCATTAACTAAACAGCACCTAACAAGGACTTAAATAAAAATCAAGATTTAAAGAAATAAGCAAAAACAAAATGTTTCGACAATTTCCATGAACTATCATACCTGTAAGGCAACACTGATGTCCCCTGACCGATAGCTTGAGAACTTGTAGTAGAACTGGAGAGTGCAAGCCTGATAAGAGCCATGAAGCAGTGGTGATTGGAGAACTGCCTGGCTACCAGCACGTCCCTGGCTATGATCTACATACAGCATGTACCCTTGTGGACTGTCTGAACATTAAGTTGTACAAATATTTGAGAAGTCATAATACATACTTTGTTTTAGCAGTCAATAACAGAGGTTAAATCATCATAATAATAATAATAGCATTAAGCATAATCTATTTTTAACTGACTGAGCTCTTCCCAGATTGGTGTGTGGGAGACAGAAAATTATTTTTTACCATCAAGTGTCTCATAATATTACAATGTAACTAAAATTTTCACAAAACAATGACAATTAGTATTATTAAAAATTTGTATCATTGACACAATGGATTCAGCTTGCATTAGCTCATGTCTGACCTCGAACGTTTATTATATTAAAAGAATAATGTTACAACAGAATTAATGGTCTGATAAAATCCAAAAATGTGGAGACACTAACACAGTGTGTGGTCATATCCCAGGCTCTGAGTAAGAGCAGATTTAGACATTGTACTGTTGCTGGCCCTGACCCAGTGAAATCCGCCCCTGCTGGTGTCCATGTAGCCGCAGAGGCCAGCTTCAAAGTTGCAGTTGCCACAGTTGAGCTCATCTGTTCCATTGCTACAGTCTCTGATGAAATTGCACCTCTTTGAGACAAGGATAAACACTTTAATACTATTAAAATACATTTATTAAAGAAATATAAACCATTTTTATAGTGAAATGTGTATTTCTTGTACACAGCCATTAGAATGAGATCTTATAGTTAGCACACTACAATGTACACCTGTTTAACCTGAGCTAGTGTCAGCATAGTTTTCAGTTTTCAAAAGAAAAGCATAGTTTCAACCTCCAAAGAGTAGCTTGGTCAATTTAAAAAAAAAAAAGGGGGGGGGGGGGGGGGTAGAAAAAAAAAAAAAAGGGGGGGGGGGGGCTGGTTCGCAATCAAAATACAAGTAAGGAAATCCACTCAACTGCTTATGTATGTTAACACAAATAAATATAGAGGATATAGACCGGCGATTTGTTTCTTGAGGAGAAAAGGTATTAGGCAAGCACATTGGCAGTTAAGTAGGAATAACAAAATTCTCTAAAAGATAATATTTTGGATGGTTTATTGCCATCGAGACCGCAAAGGCCTATCACAGTTATTCTTATTGGATTGCTCACGGTGTTAACACAAAACAATGAAAGTAGGCCAATTGTTTTTGTTTAAATGTTAATTAAGCGAAACATGTGAAAAAACTCCAGAAACCGTAGTTTTGTTAGGCTCGTCATAGTGCCGTAGTCTTAGGCTTAAAAACATAGTTACTACAGCCAAAGCATAGGGGTAAAATGGTCTACAAATGAGTTAATCCAATTTGTTTACATTTGAAGTTAATGATTACTCTAGTTTGAGGAAAAAAAAATCATTTAAAATTTACTTGAAGTTTAGTCTCTTGAGTATTTGAAAAATAGCTGGTATAACATATTAAACACATCCCCAAATATAATTCAGGCTCATGTAATGCATACCAATGTTCCATGCATAAATTGCATTAAATTCAAATCCTTAGAAGTTTGTAACCTTTGACCTAATAATTCTGATTGAAATTCTTCTCTTTTTATTTTACAGATCATATAAAGTAATGTTACCTTCTCTAATGGAATTACCAGACCATCTTCAGGACAAGTGAACTCCTCAGCTTCCTCAGCATCAGTACAGAAACCTTCTGTGTAGCTGATGTCATCTAAGGATGTGTAGCCATCTGGTCCTATCTGACTTTCAAAGATGAGGGAAAACTCGCCATCAGCTGTTATGTTGTAAAATTTTTGCTCCCACTGGCCACCTTGTGAAGTTACATTTATAATTATGAAACTATCAGACGACTGCGTACCTCCAATGTTTGAACAATAACTCACTGTCAAAACACCATCAATATAATATCTTGGCTGTTTGGGGCTGTTGCTCAGGTTTACATGTAAACATGAAGATTACAAACTTCACAATAAGATAAGTGTTGAAAATATTAAGTTGCTAAGCTACTTCACAAGGAAGATAATCAAACAAGCAGAGGCAACCATCAAGGTTAGTTTTATTGTAGGAGAACAACATGGAGTTCTACCAACATGGAGCACACGACAAGACAGCATAAAAACATGACGTCACTACACAATAAATTATGTGGTGTGCAAAACAATGCCCAATTAGCATTCAGCATTTTGTCCATTTCCAACAAAAAGAGCACCAGCTAAATTCAAAAACAACATATGGCTAGCTAGTAAATACACTGGTGACATAAATAATAAATGAACAATGACAAGTTTGTTCAACTATTCACTTCACTGGGAACCTTGAGGTTGTTCAAATGTTATTTTTTTTATTTTATTTTATTTATTTTTTTTACTGGCATCCGTCCGTCACAATGTGACGATGGTGTAGACTTCGCAGGACGAAATCCACAAGGAGTGGGATTTTTCTTTCTTTAGGATTATAAGCTGGTTCCCAACAGCAAATCGCCTCTCTCCACGCCGCTGGATACCCCAAGGGACATCATGTGGATGATACAGTTTGACACCAGTGGCGTCGCAGGAGTTGTCGGAATGTTTCATTGAGCCAATTGTATCGGCCTACAGGACTCCATCGCCTTGTCTGAATTCAGAGTTCCTTTTTCTTAGCTGCCATCTGGGGTGCTGGTGATGTTTTTGCGTGACTGGGCTTTGGTGGGGATTGAACTCCTGACCATGAACTTGAGATTGGCTTCATTTAGACCAAACGGCCACCCGAAATGTTTAAAACATAAATAAACTACACAGATTTTTATACAATAGACTGGGGAAAAAAAAAAACCAATGAATAGAACTAAGGATAAAATTATTTTGTAATTAATTTGATAATGACTTAAGACATATTTCAAACATTTTACTTTTATCAAAGACATCAGGCTTTGCTTTAAAGTCCATGAAGGGAAATGAGTTCAAACCACTTACCTGTGTCTTCCTGAAAAAAGAAGGGATAAATCATGTTCCCTGAGTTGACAAAGTCTTGCACCAGTATCATGTCACTCAGTCCTCTCTGGTTGTAAGCAAAGCTTAGACAGCTGCCATCAGTTTCTGGTAGTATTCCAGATATCAGTCGTGCTGTCTGGCCAACGCGACTTGGTGAACCATATGTATAGATGTAGTAGCCTGTGAGACCAATGTAAACCAAGATAAATGAAATGGTTCACAAAAGAAAACAATTTTGCTCATTTAAAAGACTAACAAACAAAGATGAAATTAATTTAATGTTAATCAAAACTTTATAAGTATAAAAACTAGATCAGTTTAACTGCAAGCAAAACAAATAGTTACAACATAACTTATCTCCCTGATCCCTTATAGAATAAAGAAGCTTTTAAGGAGTGGAACACAAAGCCAGAGATGACAGTAACTGTTAGAATGCATTTTGCGGGGCTGGGTACAGAGGAAGCAAGAAAGGCCTCCTGAGGACTTGGAGGGAGATTTTACAAAGGTTTTCATGAAATATGGGCAGCGGTCTTCTGTAGGCTGTAAAAAGGTGGCAGATGGGAATTTTGAAAATTGAATTGTTGCCCAAATTTCCAACTTAGTTTAAGAGTAAAATAAGACTAAGACACATTTACTATCCAAGAATCAACTCATTTCATTGAGAAGGCAAAACTCAACATCAGTTTAAACATGTAAAGCAAATAATGCTTCCTTACCTACATATCTGGGGGTTTTTTGTATAAGGGTTTTAAATTTCATAGATGTTTTTCTTAACTTTTTTTTTATGCCATCTCAAAAACATCACCTCTCTGATCCTCAACAAAACAAATTGCTCAGCTATAAATATCTTGGGATACAAATCTTTGAACCCTGCCCGAAGAAAATTTTTCAGATCAACCTCACCTTTTGTGGTGTTAGTTGTATGATCCCTAGGTGGTCCAGAGCCCTGTGAAAGGATGGTCCCCCTGTTTCTCAACCAGTCGAATTCATCTCCATTTTTCACATTCTGATAAAGGCACATACCTTCCTCAAAGTCACAAGTGGCAGGCTCCCCACATGCACTGTCCAATAAATGAATATCATCAATGGCAATAATACCTGCACTGTTTTCTGGTAAAATGCCTTCAAAAAGTATCTGCAATGAAAAAAAGAATATGAAGAATATAAGAATTTACAGTGCAGGTGTTTAAGAACATTATTTTCAAGATGTGATTGTGGGAGAAGACATTTTCATGCAGACTCTGACTTAACTGATTAGCTACCAGAGTGAAAAACCGGCTGTGGCCGAATTAAATCTAAGTCACGTTGACTACGATACAAACGTTGGCGCTACCATCGGCTCGTGGCCATAACAAAAGAAACGCCCAGCCGCTGCCAGCGGCGCATGGTATTTAACAAGTTGAGAAGGACAGCTTGGGCATTTTCCACAAATCAGGTTTTCATTTTCTATTAAACAGATAACAAATCCTTATTTAGCAATTATTCAAATTAAATGTTATTCTATTATTAACAAAATGAAAATATGAAAATTAACAATATGACACTAGAAATAAGATAATATGACACTGTGTTATATATGTTAATTATAGCAGACAAAAGGCTAAAAAATTGAGGTGGTTACAGGCAAAATCTAATCTTTCAAAATGTTTTTAGTTATATTTTAACAAAGAGTCTAATGTTATAAAATAACTTTGAGTCTAAATTTTTTTGTATATTCTACATTGTTTCTCAACTAGGTAAATACAGATTCCTGGGTGTAAAACATCTTTGATAATGCTTATTTATAGATATAAAAACACTGCTTACCTGGAATTTAACGTCTGAGATTACATCAGCTTGAGAACCTTTCCACCCATCCCCAGCAGGTCCTTCATGTAGCCAGATTTCTGTGATGTCACCTTCCTGATTTAAAATCTTGACAGTCAGGGCTCCAGTGTCTTCTCCATGCATATGGAAATAGAACTGCAGACATTTTGCTTTAGCTGGTCCCATCATTGGAGACATGATACCAGCCTTGCTCTTTGAAAAGCTTTGAGATCCTTCTATATACAAATAGTGGCCTGCAAGAATACCTTTTAAAGCTTAGTGCAATATTTATGATATTATTTTGCTGCTTATCTTAAATGCAAATGTTCAAATCATGGATATGCTGACAAAATATTTCGAAATAACTCCAATATTGTCACACCAAGTGTTGTGTCTGGATGGACTAATAAATCAGACTATAGCAAATTTTTCTACAGTCCTGAAAAAAAAATTACAACAATCTTCATTTTGTCATGTTACTGGAGAGCAAAGTTTTAGACCAGGTGTTAATGTAGCCAGTGACATAAAAGCAGGGATGTCTTTTTTGGCTTCATGGACAAAATTGGAATGATTAGAGATGCCACAAAATATTCTACAGTTAAGTATAAAATAAAAATTAATTAACCAGCATTCATACAAGCTAGCTTCAACTAATTTCTTTCTTGTTTTTGAATGGTTATTATTTTAATTCATTACAAAGATCAAAATATTCATTTCAAAATTCAGATAGCCACAATTACAATTTTCTTGTTTAAATATGTGTAAATGAGATATAAAAACTAAAACTAAACTTTAATTAGTAATATTCTTTGCAGACAAATAAAATATATATATTTAAAACTCCTATTTTAAATCATTCAGACTATTTAATATGCTGAGTTTTGGTTCAAATTTATTAGTAAAGTACTTAAAATTTTACATACCTAGATATGTGCCGTAAGTGTGATCTGACAAGGGAGCTGAAACAGATGATAAGTTTGTTCCACTATTCAGAATCCAGTCTCCATTATCGAATGTATCTTGTGTAAATCCACACAAGTCAGGATTTTCAAAGTCACAATTTCCTGTCAGAGAATATCAAGAATGTTTTCACATTAAATGTTTTAAACAATATTTAGAAGTAATATCTGCTGTCATTATAAAATATAAATCAAAATTTTAAATCCAAAAAATAAATTTTATTGTGTTTTGTACTATTTCAGAGGAAGATATTAAAAAAAAGGATATTTAATTTCCTTATTCTGTTATTTAAGCTTCAACAATTGTTCTGAATATTTCTATGGTTATGAGCTGAGACTGAAATCTAAAATGACAAAAGTGAATTTTAAAAAAACCAACAAAACATGTAAATATTAAAGCTGGATAGGCTGAAACCTTGACTTCAGTTCAACTACAAATAATGACTTATTATACAATTATAAAAGGAACCAAATGGCATTTTTTAATTCAGATTCTTGAATTGTAAATTTGGCTCTTAAAAGAAATGTTTATCTATAAAAGCCATCAGTGTATAAAACTCTGACTTACTAATATCCTCGGTGCATGGACCCACATTGGATGTTACATCATCGATACGAATGTCTTCCTGCAGCTCCCCTACCATCCTATTCTCAATGATGAACTGAAAAGTATACATTTCATTATGATGACAAGGATAATAAAAAAGAATATTTACTTCATGAACCAATTTCTTAAAATTTCATAATATTATTAGCATTGTTAGAGAAAAATATTCAATTTTAAATTCTGTTTTCGCAGAAGGTTTGTTTAATTCTAGGTACCAGGCACAAGATCTTGTTTAGTAAGCAAAGATAAAGCAATGATGGATTTAAACAAAAATGAAAAAATAATTCTTCTTTCTGAATATTCGGTCAATTTCTACCAGAGTTGGGAGTTGTTGGGGGGGGGTGGTGTTTGATGGGGGAAATGAAACCCTGACGCTGTTATGCTTCACCCTTCCCAATACTCCCCTACCATAAACCTTTTAAGCTTTGCCTTTTGGCTGATTTCTGCAAATATTTAAACAGGGAGGGTGGGTTATTATGTAAAAACTGTATTAATTATACAAAAATGAAAATGCTTGCCTTCTATGTGCTCAAATCTAGGGACACTCACTTCAGTTCACTAACCTTGACCACTTTGGGATGACTAAGAGTCAAGTCGGCAGGTGAGGCATACACCTGTGCGAAGAACCAATCTTCTCCTTGTTCCCCCTGACGCTCCCAGAGAATCGTCTTGTCATCATTATCTGATGAATTAACAAGCAGACCAATTTTAAAATTCTTCTGTATATATAATGACTTTTGAGCAGTTAAATCTCTTTTTGATGATGGTCTCTTCATGACGTTATCTTCACTCTTACTAAAAATTAAATAGATATATTTATTATAGCATAAGTAACATGACGTTTAAAAATTACCTTTCAATAGTCGAACATTTAGGCTTCCAATAATTGGGCCTGACATTAAATACCAGAATTTCAAACATATTCCTTGACTAAGGTTTTCTAGTGGAGGACTTAGCAGTCGAGCATAGTCACCATCAGTTAAATTGACGGGGTATGGCATGATAAATGAACCTGCAAATTTAAAACATATTTAAGTACAAGAACAAGTTTCAAACCTTATTAAAGCAATTAATTGTATTACACGATTTCAAAACCATGAAATGCGAGGAAAAGAGGGCATTGCAGCACAAAAAAGAGCTATTAGCGATGTTAAACAAATGACTTTTAATTTTACATTATGAAAGATTTATGATATTCTGTTTTTCAAATCTATTTTGCGCATGTTTTCACCAGCATTATCACAAGCAGTCTACTTGTAGATGAAAGCATAAAGCACAACTTTTTTATAAAAGATTAATTTTTTTTTTAAATGTTCAAACTTAATTTGGCATGTGCCCAATAACCAGCAACTACAGATTTCCATAATAATTGCTTAAGCAGTTTGTAAATAATTTATTTAAAAAAATAACCTTGATTTGTGATAAAACTTCATTTATCTTATTAGGTTTTAGTATAATTTTACATTTGTTATGGTACAACTAAAGGTGAGGTATGCAAGTTTCCTGAAGCATGTTGGTCCTCAATTTAAAATGAGTTATGTTTGGAATGGATAATAAATATAAGCACGATATTTTAAATGCTAACCTTCCTCTGTTTCCAAAGTATGGTCATAAGTCCTCCCAGTAAAAGAAAAAGAAGTTTTTGACGTGATCAGCCAATCAAAGTTGTCTGTACTGTCCTGGGTCCAATTGCAAAGAGTATTAAAACTACAATCCAACTCTGTTGGAGCTGAAAATAAAAATTTCTACTCATGCTGTAACAATTATATCTGACGGTTATCTACTTAAGTAAATAAACAGTTGAAAAAGATATGCTTAGGCTTGTAAAAAGACAGGACAGTTACAAATATATTTTTGGCTAGATGCCCTCTTCAGCAGACAAGGCAAAACAAGAAACCACAAATGGAAATTAAAAAACTTTTGTGTTCGAAGATTCTGATCAAAAGTTAGTTCTCTTCTTCTCAGGTTCATGTAAGCTGAAAACCTTTGATTAATCATTTTAATATTATAGATATTTTTTTCACAACTTTGCCTCCCAATTTTACAATTTAAAAAATGGGAGTAATTATAAAGTTAAAATCTCCTTTGCATAATGTGATATGCAGCACTTTCTATTCAGAGAATGAACTATAATTGCAAGCCATTAATGTATCGCCTGGCAAAATAATAATTGGTAAAATTTTGTTTTAATTCTTGACACATTATTTTTTTATTTAAAAAATTTAAAACTAATGTTTAAATCTGAGTTCACCACTCAAGTTATTTAAAAAATGTAAAACTAATGTTTCAATCCGAGTTTACCACTCAACTAAAGAAAAAGTATCAAAATGTTTCCTTACGATATTTAATGAACTCCTGCGATGTTACTGTTTGGGTTGTCCAGTCCATACAGCTTCCAGTATGCAACAAAAGGTCATCAAGAGCAATTCCTCCACCTTGTGAGCCATTTACTTCACACTCAATAATATACTGTAAGGAAAAGCTGGATGAAAACTTCTGGTTCTATTTAATGAACTTCCATAACTTTTTAGAAATAAATACACCATTATATTGATTGAGAGCAACATCTTTTCAAAAGCTGAACTGTTTAAATATTTAACTAAAACATTTTCTTACTAGAATCCAAGCTCTGAAAATCTATTTTTCTTGCGTTTTAAAACAGCTTATAATTGCTAAAATTGTATCTAAAGAAGCCCTTAAATATAACTGGAATGGTTTGTTTTAAAATATAGGCTACCTGGAATTGTTGTGTCATAAAATATACCTGGAATGGTTGTGTCATAAAATTTACCTGAAATGGTTGTGTCATAAAATTTACCTGGAATGGTTGTGTCATAAAATTTACCTGGAATGGTTGTGTCATAAAAAGTACCTGGAATGATTGTATAATAAAATGTACCTGGAATGGTTGTGTCATAAAATGTATCTGGAATGGTTGTGTCATAAAATATACCTGGAATGGTTGTGTTTTAAAATATACCTGGAATGGTTGTGTCATAAAATGTATCTGGAATGGTTGTGTCATAAAATATACCTGGAATGGTTGTGTCATAAAATTTACCTGGAATGGTTGTGCCATAGAAAAGTTAAACACAACATTTCTCCATTCACTTCCTTGAATGCTCTGCACTTGATAAATAGACTCTGTATCATTTAATCCACCAGTCACTCCAGTTAATATGTTAAGACCCAAACTTTGACCTATGGCAATAGTTATGGTAATTAAGAAAAACAATAATTTATATACTGACAAAATTGGAAGTCATTTGGGCATGTATTTTGGTTTTTGGAAAATTTTACTTTCATAAAGTCTCTGTGTATTTAAAGATCCCTTTTAGGGGCAATTATTATATAATGGTTTCAGTGTTAAAAAAATCTTTTTCTTATGAAACTTACAAACATATGCGATGTGTATATATTTGAATAACATTTTCATGTGATGGGGAGTCAAGATTAATAATAAATAAACTGTTGCCAGCTTTATTCCACAATTGGGATTTTAAAAAAGCTATTGCGAATTGTAACAATCTATTCAACACAGGAAAGTATATAAGATAATACAAAATTTCAAAATGAATAAGCTTTTAGTCAAAACAATATGGGATGCTAACCATTGTATCCGTAGCTGAAGTACCAGAATGACAGACACATTTCATCAGATGCTGGCAGCCATGGGCTTAAAATGTACACTTTACTCCCTTGTTGATGTCCAGTTGAATCGAATGTGATATAGTAGCCTGATCCAAGAATAATAGTCAGTTAAAATAAAAATGAGACCAAAAGAATTTAAAATACTCCCAGATTCTAGGCTGTGATAAATGCAGTATCCAAACTTTTCAACAGCTTGCAGCTGAAAAATAAATTTTGGATATCCAAGAATGATCCTTAAAAAAAATAAACTAGCTTTTTTGGCCCCAACACATTCTTTTTTATTTTATCTGCAGCTGAGCTCCTAAAAGCAACTGTTATAGTAGGCTTAGTACTTGATTTAACCATCAAACATTTCTTTCCTTCCCAGCAAAAAAAAGCAATTTAGATCCTTTTAAGACATGCAAAGTTATTAAATAAAAAAAAAAATATGCATATATTTAAAAAACTAACAAACTAGCATGAGCAGATTTTAGAAGGAAATCTTACCTGTGGAGGATCCAGTGCTATGGTCAACAGGTGGCAGAAAAGATCCAGACAGCCCCCTGTTTCTAAACCATGTATACTGATCATAAAAATTGAATCCACACACATCATTCTCAAAATGACATGAACCTTCCATTGGACATTCTCCAAATTGAACTAGTATGTCATCCACACATACATCTGTTGTGGCTCCAGATAGAACAGAGCTTTGAAAAACTAGCTGGAGATTAAATTTTATAATTCAAATACAATAATTAATTCTTATATTTTGTAAAATTAGATATTACAAAACTTACTTAATTTTTAGTACATCTTTCAACATCCTCATCCTTGGATTCGGCTCACTAAGCTTATTGGTTTTTTTTTAGATTTTTTTTTTGCGTTTACTTAAGAAAATGTTTTCCCTCATAGTTTTAAATCTTAAATATGTGAATCATCATGAAAGTAATGCAACATTATTACTTGCTTACCCTAAAATTTGAATTTGTCTGCAAGGTTTGCTGTGCATACTGCCAGAAACGACCAGTTCCCATGTTTTTCCATATTCTGATGGCATCAAGACCAATATTACCAACAGGCTGATAATAGATCTCGAGACTGCCAGTTTTATTTGAGTCAATAAAGTACCAAAATGTTAGGCACATTGGCCCAGGAACTCCTGGATATTCAGGACTCATTAGGTCAGCCGTTTCACCAACTTTATGTCCCAGAACACTCATTTTGATATAGTGACCTGGTAATAAATTCATGTTTTCATTATAGGCTTCCAGGAAGGATTCCTGTTGTGGACATTGAGCTACATTTGAGAAATTCAAAGACATAAGTTTATTTTTTTTCCATTTAAATTCATCTCTTTGTTATTGTATTGTATTGTCTACAGAAGAAGGGATCTAGCCAAAACATCTGCTTAGTTGTCTTGCCTTTTATTTTCAAGCCCAAATATATTTTGTTCCACTTTTTATTTACGTAACATGGCTTGAATGCAGTCCCTAATCTAAACTTACCAATCTTGATTTGATTTAAAACTTAATACCCATTCCGTTATCTTTTTTTTAAAAGAAGAAACCTTCTGCTGAAGGTGTAAAAGTAAAATTTAATTGCCCTCTTACTCTTCTTATACACAATTTCTGTTTATGTTTTTATTTGCTTTATCTAGACAATTTATTTATATTGACAGGAAGTCAAGTTGTAAGGATGACTGAGCTGACATTGTACTTTATAGTTAAATTCTGCCTTACAAGCTTTTTATTCAGTCCAGTAAGGAAAATAACCTTAATAAAGAATATGTGGTTTTTAAGACATAGCTACCATATTGATTTGAATTGGTGTGGTCTTCTGCGGGATTAAACGAGCTGTTATTAGCTTCCATCTTTGTTGCATTTTCACCAGATGTCAACGTCCAGTCCAATTGGTCAGTTGTGCTTTGCTCATAACCACAGAAGCCATATTCAAAACTACAGAGAGCTGCGAACATACACACATTTATTAATTTGTTAAATCTTACTCTTAAAAAAAAAGGTCTGGAATATATTTAATGAGCTTTCAAGATATGTAAAGACAGGTGGATTTTTGAAAAGGGTTGTTGGGAGAGAACAGCAAAGATTTAAGAAATTTTCATACACAGATACTGATATGGGAGTTTAAGAATTAAAACTTTGATATTTAAAATGTAAATTTGGCAGCTTTTTAAAAAAAAAAAATTGTATTTACTTGATACTAGACATGGAGCAGGAATTAATGAAATATCATCTACCGCTATGTGCCCATTGAAAGAAGTTTTCATTACAGTAGCTTCAAATACAATCTGAGGAAGAATTATTGGTCACAACGTTAATTAAATATCAGCACGGTACGTGTACTCTGGGTTATGGATCCTATTGGTCTATGTAATGTAAGAGTAAATTTATCTAGAAAATTTTTTTTTCTGATGTCCTACTAATTTTTTAAATTTTTTAAATTTTTTATTTAAGTAATAACTTTATGAATTCCTCAACCAACCTGATACTCGTCAACTGGTTTCACTGGTGCCAACCCTAACTGCCATGAGTTGGATGAATAGGACTGTGAAAATATTAGCTTTTTTTTGTTTTTCTCTACTTGATACACATTCAAATAATTCATAGTTTCATAAATATTGTAAAAAAAAGAGAGGCAACCACTCTTCATGACTTGAGGCTCCAAGATACCTGTGGCTAGTCTTGCTTTTACCTCTGAAACGAGATATGTTAAGAATTAAATGATAACCTAACCCTAGCTAATGTTTGTCACAGTTGTCAAGAAATTTAAAAAACAACAACTTCAGCACAATATGATTAATGACCAGCTTGACAAGCCATCGACATTTTGATGTCTTGTCAAGTTCCTCCCCAAAATTTTGAAAAATTACTTTAAATCTAATGCTAAATTTTGTTTTGCTCAGTGCACAAAATTACTTCCAATACTTTTGTCAGAAGCCTTCACAAATCCACCAGAGATGTCTGCAATTCATTAAGTTGGATCAATAAATATTTCTCCATTTTAATTTCTTCATATTAAAAAAAAATTACTGACTCCCAGTTGGGTCAAGATTTTTTTTCCCCCACTTACAACCTGTCATGACTACAACAGAAATATTAACTTTCTCATCCACATTACCTGTCTGTTTAGGAGTGTGTTTTAAGTCAACCAAAATGAAATATCCAGACCCTGAGGTGTGATCCCGATCTAATCCAGCTGGGACAGCAGTGGTGTCCTTCTTTCCTCTAATCCATTCTATATCCTGAGTGTAGTCATTGAAATAGCCACACCAGTCATCCTCAAAGTCACAGCTCAAACCTAAATCAGTTATTTGACAGTATTACAATATTCAAGAGTTTTCTTTTTTTTTTTATTTACATTAAAAATTCTTTAAATGTTTAAAATAAAAGATCCACTAATCTTGTGCATAAACAAGGTATTTGCGAATGGTCATCTCATATGAAACTTGACTTAAAATGAAATTGCGATTTTAGCTGTTGAATCAGTTACATATTGAGGAACCTCAGATGTGTAGGTAAAAATAAAATAAAAACCTTATGAAAGCTAATGCTATTTACATTGGAAGATTTTTTTTTTAAAAAGGTCAAATAAATGACCAGAATAAGTATTTATGAGTTTATGGCTAAAGATTTAGTCCCCTGAGGAACATAGCAACACTTGAGTGCACTTGACAGATTCTTACTTGATATATTTGAAAGTGCCCCATCCTGGCAGTTTTCAAAGTTAATGTCATCAATGCATAGAGTTGCTGAGTCTTTAATTTCTGAGTAAGTATTTTCTGCACTAATGAAAATCTAAATTTAAACAACACATACATGTTAATGACTTATCTGAGACAATGCCTTAAATTAATCACAGTGAAATTTTTATTATAAAACCTGAGATAAGGTAAATGAATATCAGTTTTGCATAAATAAATAAAAATGGATTGATTTGGAGCTATAAAAAAAATATTAGTGGTATGGTAAAAGATTTAAAATAATCTATATATACATTATAGTAAATATAATTGTGATAATGACAATGAAACACATGCAAGTATATATTACATATACATACATAACAGCTTTATTTTTTCTAGTACCTGAAACCCTGCAGGTAGAGCTCCAATATGATAAGAATAATGCATCCACTGACTTGCTGGTCTAATGGACACTAACTCCATGGCAGTTGATGTAATAACCATCTTAGATGCATCTGTTCCATTTCTTATTCCAAAAGTAACATTTCCTTTGTAACAAATAATGATAAAAATCATTACCCATGCACCATTTTATTTAATGAGGCAAATAGTTGAAAACAATATTAGTGATATTAAATATCGTATTTATTGGAGTCACGTTGCTGGGTGGCCGAGTGGTCTAAACTGAGCAAATCTCAAGTTGGTGGTCTGGAGATCAATTCCAGCCAGAGCTCAGTCAAGCAAAAACACCACCTGCACCCCGGGTGGATGGGACCTCATTGCCTTGGTTGGCAACTCATCTTGGATGGAAACTCTGAAATCAAACCCGGAGATGGAGTCCCGAAAGGCGGATAACATTGATACAATGAAAAATTCTGACAATTCCTGCGACGTCACTGGTGCCAAGCTGTATCATCCAATGATGTTAATGATGTTCCCTTGGGTTCTCCATCGGCGTGGAGAGAGGCAATTTGCTGTTGGGAACCAGCTTATAATCCTTGAAGAATAATCCCAGGCCATGTGGATTTCCACTCCATTGTCACATTGTGATGGACGGATGCCAGCAGCATTTATTGGCGTATAACACGCACCTTTTCTCTGTGAAAATAGGGGGCAAATCATGTGTGCATGTTATACGCCTATATAATGTTTATTTTTTTTTTCCTGAAATTTTCTTCTTAAATTTGAGGTGCGTGTTATACGCGGGGGCCTGTTATACGCCAATAAATACAGTAATTTAAAAATTTTTCATTTCAAATTTTTGCATAGTGCTAAGCTTTTGAAAGAAATTAGCATGTTACCATTAGTCAGCAGGCTTTCTAGGTAAAAGTAGACACTCATGGAACAGGCAGCTCCTGTGGCAGGCAAAATTGGGCCTACAAACAGGGCAGGTAGTTCATTATCACCTGATCCTGGCCCAACACACAAGCATTGTCCTGTCATATATATATATGTATATATATAAAAATGTAAGAATACAGTGACACTCTGAAGTCACATGGGTAGTTCTGTCTACAATGTAAGTCCAAAAGTATACATGGGTGTAAACATTTCCATATAAATTTCAACAGACTTATCTGAGATTTTCTGTTATAGCAAAGAAATAAATAATATGTTAGTTTAATGATAATGAAATGATTTTAATTGATATCATACACATAAAAACATAAAAATAGAAGTGAGTTATTTTTATTAATGTAGATTACTTCATGAGGTTTGTAAATGTCTTTATAAATGTAATTGTGAACATTGCATTGCATTTATAATTATAATATTAGGACCTACAACTATTTATTTTAATATTTACTTTAAGTTTAATGCTAATAAAAAAAAAAAAAAAGGTTCAATCTGAATAATAAATATTTAGATATCAACTTGCAAATAAGGCCACAAAAAATATATTTCCCTCCTTCAGCTTATAGTTTTTAGGGCATTATAGAGAAATTATTAATTTAGAAAAAACCAAAGTCATAAACCACACACATTTCACAATATCATTTAAGTTGAAATTTCTAGGAGGCCTTACTGGGTCAAACTGTAACATTTCAAAAGTAGCATTTAGAAACATTTCGATGAGATACATTAAATACATTTTTTAAAATTTAAAGTATAAAAAATGTATGTTTGACAACTTTTCTTACCTTGACCAGGTTTTTGCACGCTGTGATCTTCTACGGGTTCTGCACTGTTGTTTACATTTACCACACTCCACATCAAGTTACCAACACTTTCATCCTTCCATCCACACTCATCAACCTCAAAACTGCAGGAACCTAAAAAATAACCACAAAATACTTGGCCCTTCATTTTTTGCTGTCGAAAATAGCAATTAAAATGAAATTTTGCTTTTTTTATCATAATATGTATGTTACCAAAGGCCAAGGGAGTACATCAATTATAATCAATAATTTGAAGAATGACACCATAAATTAAATGTTTGTCTTTTTACCATAATACCTTTAGATTAAAAAAATAATATACAAACCACATTCCCTTTCATCAGATCCATCGCCGCACTGAGACAAAAAGTCACAAACTTGGCTTTGATTTAGGCAATGGACAGTTCCAGAAGAACACTGAAATAGACCTTGACCACATTTGGAGGCCGGCATCTGAGATCCAGTTCCTCCTGAAAATAAATAACAAGTTACTACTTCATCTTCAATTTTGTCTTGTATCAGAACGTTGGGACCTATGAGCAACTAAAGCAGGTCAAGCTCAACTGACATGAACATATAAATTTATTTTTTATTTTAGTAAAATTATAAAAGAACTATTTTTATTAAGGAATTTTGAAAATGCTTTAAAATAGGCATTTATCTCTTGCTGGTTGTTATCTGAATTTAAAATCACTTACTACACTTATACTTATGATTATACCCAACTTTTCTTTGTTAGTCCGTTTTTTTTGTTTAAGAAAACTACAATACTTCTTTTTGAGCTATTAAGAAGGAGGCTATATATTGCTTCAGAGATGGTTCTTGATAGAAAATTAAGTGAGAAGATATTGATTGGGGAGGAACACGGGAAAAAAAAAATGGACAAAAGCTATATACATGCAAAGCTTCATGGACATCTTTTAAGCACTTCAAATCGGAACTGGATTTTTTGTAGCAGATGCTCAAGTGGTAGATCACCCATAAATATGTGTCTTCCAATGGTCTAAGGCGACACCTGTGTAAGGTTTGTTCAACTCCCCCAGGTTGAGAAACGCTGCCCTAAAGGCATGTTCCCCCCTCTATTTAACCTTGAAAAAAAATTTAATAAATTATTAAAAGAAGAAGCAAGATGTCAGCTTTTAGTAATTGGCAGAAGTATAATTTATTATTATACTAAAACTGACAATAACGGGCAAACAACGGTAATCTACCACTTGAGTGTCAACTACGGAAAAAAATTTAGTTGTTCGGGGTATAAAGTGCTATTTAAACAGTTATATTTATTTCCACAGGAAATATCGCCATGGACAGTAGTGAGAGTCACTGCGTTTTTGGTGGCGTAGAATGAGAGAGTGGGCACCGTTTTCTCATGGAAGTGCCAGATTGACATGCGATCATGTTACAAGAGTGTATAGACTTAATAGACAGATATTTCATATATCCTTCCAAGCTGACTGATTTTATCATTAAGACTAATTAAGAGTAATTAAGACTTAGCTGATTTCTCACATTTTTTTTCTTTACAACATACTAATATTATTGAAAACAAAATGGATGTCATCAACAACGTTTCCAGCGCGAAAAAATAATTTTATAGTGAGCCCTATCATGAAGCACACACAAAAAGCATCTCAAAAACCCTATGGGCCGTGATTGCGTCAAAATAGCCTAATAATATTCATATCAAAGTAACTCCGAAGTGTCTATCTCTATCTCAATCTCTTCTCTAGCAGTGCACTCTAGCTTGAGGCCAGCTAGAGGCGTGAAACCCTGGGCAAGTGCGCCCATGACGGCACTGCGTTTATCCACAAATTTCACTACTGGGTACAGAGCAGTGGCGTAGCTATAGTTATTACTGCCCGGGACAACTTGTTAGTCTAACATTTTTATAAACACAAATTCTTACTTAATTATTGTTCAATTCATATCTGGGATAAGTAAAACCAGTTGACGAGAGTTATTCCCCTTTAAATTTAAAGGTACTTCCAACTTGTGATTCGCATTTATACAATATTAATTTTATAATCTGACGATAAATCTTGGGTTAAAATTGGGAAACGTACTGTCCACTAACTTTCAAATAAATGAAATTTCCAAAATCTTTCTATATTCATTAACAATATATTAAGCTTGAATCCTCTAAAAGAGCGAGTATCCCAGAAGCGCAAAGCCCCCTAGAAGCGTGAGGCCTTTGATCAGTGCCCAGTGGACCCATCATGCCGGCACTGTTCATGTGCTAAAGCTAAGAGTGTTAATCTCTGCCTTGAACTGCTTTTGCTGTCAAGGGCTATTTTGCCGGAACTTACAATTTCTGTTATTGTCCGTCGTTAGGTTTTCCCCTACTTTGTATATTACTTATTTGCTTGACTAAGTTTTTGGTTCAACCGACCCTTTTAAATTTAAAGGGGATACAACAATGTTCCCTCTACGGTTTGTTGGTTTGTGTGCAAAATCATAAAGTTGTGTGCACATTTTTACAGCATCAATTTTTTGTGTGCAAAATTTTACAGCCTACAGACGTAAACACACACTTTAGTGGAAATTAGCTGCGCGGTACTCAAAACTGCTGCGTAGCGTCTGTGAGATTGCTGCGCGGCCGCGCAGCTTAAAGGGAACATTGGGATACAATTGAATTTTTTTTTAAATTACAAAACTGTTCCAAAGGTTGTCTTTCTTCTTCACTATGAGTTTCAATGAATCAAGAATTTCATGGGCTACTGTGATTTTTTGGGTTGTATTTTTTAACCACGAAATTTAGAGAAGACTTTGATATCGTGTAGTCCAAATCTAAAGAATCAAAATTTACCGTGAGACAAATATTTTAGTTTTAGCCCTTTTAGGATGTTGCGAAGCTTGAGATATATTTCAATTCGAAGAAGTCCAACAACGACAAATAAACTCAATTCAAGCTGCATTAATGTGGGTCAAAATGTTTTTTAATACAGGTACGATTTTTTTTTTCAAAGACGTTGCTCTGCCTAGAACGTATCTTGAGAAGAAAATGTGATTTAAACCCCAGAATTTTACCATTTTTCTTGTCTCATTCGTCCTAGCCTTTTCAAACCGAAACATTAATGTATCTACCCAAATGTTATTTAAGAGACTCATCGCTGTACTGACCCACAGAGTGGGGGAAAAAAAAAAAAGCTTACTCAATGGAACTAGAAATAAATAAAATCCGAGAAACGAAGGGAACATCAGAATCACAGAGTTCATCATTGGGGAACGCATCAATGTGTTGGCTTGCATTTGTTAAGATAGCGTCACAGAGTTGATCATTGGCGACACTTGGCTGCTAACAAACGCGCCACAGATCATGCTTTATAATTGTTACTTTCATGACCACGGTGCTTCACTATCGACCACCTCGTAACGACCATCTCGTTAACGATCAATCCTGTCACGGTAGCCCTACCACTGATTGGCTTTATAAGTTAAATATCCAATGCTTTCTAATGATCATGTTTATCTGATTATATTTTTTTTTAAAAGAAAAAAGATTTGTCAAAACTGTTTAGCGGCGGATCCTACATAGGCATAAGTGGATCTAGGTTTTGTCCTGGATTAGTGGTGGTGGGGATGGTAATGGTGGGAGTATGGTGGGGGTGATGGTGGTAATGGTGGTTTTGGAGATAGTAGTTGTGGTGATGATGGTGGGGGTGATGATGGTTGGGGATTGGGGAGATGTTATTGATTAAATTAGTTTTATTTTAATATAGTGTAAGTCTCCGCGTCTCTGTATTTTAATGTGACACTTAGAACAACTAAATTTAAACAAAACACGTTCAAGTACTACCCCATTAAGTACTACCCCATTAAGTACTACCCCATTATGTACTACCCCATTAAGTTCTTCCCCATTAAGTGCTAAACCATTAAGTGCTACCCCATTAAGTGCTACCCCATTATGTACTACCCCATTAAGTACAACCATCTTTAAGTACTACTCCAATATGTGCTACCCCATCAAGTACCACTCGACCCTTTGATCGGGCAGTGTACATAAACAAACCGCTCATCGTGACCTTTGCTTTTCCTATAGTAGCTCGATGTATAGAACAAGTAAACAATAGAAGCATCGGCGTAGCTCGATGTATAGAACAAGGAAACAATAGAAGCAGTGGCGTAGCTCGATGTATAGAACAAGTAAACAATAGAAGCAGTTGCGTAGCTCAATGTATAGAACAAGGAAACAATAGAAGCAGTGGCATAGCTCGAGATATTGAAAAAGTGCCCACCGGGGCACAATGCACAGCCCCTCTCTATGCTAGTGAAAAAAGTCGTGTAAAAACTAATCACGCCTCCATGAAGGCTCTTCCTAAATGATTTATTTTTTTTTTGATTCGCCAAACTGTAAATATTTAACAGTCACCAAAAACATGTATCACGTTTGACGACCTTCATTTCGACCCGCCCCATTTATCTAGACGTGACCCGATGATGCGCTGGTGAAAGACCAAAGTAAAAGATAACATCACACGATAGCAATAAATCTAGACTGTATGGTGTACGATATCAGCAAATAGGAAGCTTTAAATGAATTAACTATCATCCGAGGTTAAGAATAAACGTTAAGATACATCATAAACAAGTACCGTAGCTGTGGTGATAAGACTGAAACGCACTGCGCTCAGTTTCAAACACTGGAGATTTTAAAACATAACAACATTTGAAGGTGCAAAGACAACATTTGAAGGTGTAAATACAACATTTGAAGGTGTAAAGACAACATTTGAAGGTGTAAAGACAACATTTGAAGGTGTAAAGACAACATCTGAAGGTGTAAAGACAACATTTGAAGGTGTAAAGACAACACCTGAAGGTGTAAAGACAACATTTGAAGGTGTAAAGACAACATCTGAAGGTGTAAAGGCAACATTTGAAGGTGTAATGACAACATCTGAAGGTGCAAAGACAACATTTAAAGGTGTAAAGACAACATCTGAAGGTTCAAAGACAACATTTGAAGGTGCAAAGACCACATTTGAAGGTTCAAAGACAACATTTGAAGGTGCAAAGACAACATTTGAAGGTGTAAAGACAACATCTGAAGGTGCAAAGACAACATTTGAAGGTGTAAAGACAACACCTGAAGGTGTAAAGACAACATTTAAAGGTGTAAAGACAACATTTGAAGGTGTAAGACAACATTTGAAGGTGCAAAGACAACATTTGAAGGTGTAAAGACAACATTTGAAGGTGTAAAGAAAACAACTGTAGGTGTAAAGACAACATTTGAAGGTGTAAAGACAACATCTGAACGTGCAAAGACAACATTTGAAGGTGTAAAGACAACATTTGAAGGTGCAAAGACAACATTTGAAGGTGCAAAGACAACATTTGAAGGTGTAAAGACAACATCTGAAGGTGCAAAGACAACATTTGAAGGTGTGACGAGGCTATACAAAATTAAGTCAATTTTTTTGTAAATAGTAGGTATGGCACTTCATTAAATATTTGTTTAGCCCTCAACTATTCTTACACTTACTTACGTCACTAACTCTACCTACTTTACATCCTTCACTAACTTCACTATTACTTTATTTACTTCACTCACATTTTATTTATAAAATGATACCTATGTTCTATATTCACGCCAGCCAAGTGCAATTTAAAAAGTAAACCTAAACATTTCTTCAATTCTGTTCCAGTGCTGAAGTCAGAATTGAAATCTTCATTTATTTTAATAGAAGTTTTTTCTTTAAAGTATCCATTTCATATATAATATTATATGTGGATAGTTGATAGTAAGTTAAATTTTAAAACAATTATTTTCAGGTTTAACTTTGTATCTATATGAGCTGTGTTGTAAATATAAAATGGCGAAGAAACTCGGACATAACCCCAAGGGGTGGGAATTTTCTACTCGGGCATAACCCCTGAGGAGGAACTTTTCTACTTGGACACCCCCCCCCCCCCCCCCCCCCCGCTCCCCGGGGTGAGACCATTCTGGCATTGAATCATTTTGCTCGTTTTGAATTCCAAATTTAAAATACAAATAAATCGCTCAAGCTAACATGGCTTAACATTGCTTAATACATACTCTTAAGTGATGAAACTGGTACCACATATGATGGAGATTTGTATGAAAGTGGCGTACCAAGGAGGGGGGGGGCATTATTAATTTTTATAAACGTTGTTTGTGTGAGGGGGCGCAATTTTGGGAGAGGGCGCCGAGATTGCCATTTTGTCAAGACACATCACTGTGTATCAAGGGGAGGTCCAAAAACAGCAAGATCGTGTGTGTTGTGTTGTGTTTTTCTTCTTGGTTATAGAGAGACTTCATACTTACCTAGTTCTCACTTGGGTCTGCTTGTAGAGAGACTTCATACTTACCTAGTTCTCACTTGGGTCTGCTTGTAAAAAAAAATATGTATGAAAAACTTAATTACGGGGAATTCATTATAGTCATGTGAAGATTACTGACGATTATAGGAGCCAGAATGATCAGTACATGCGATTCGGGGTGGCTCATTTTTTCTTTGTATTGAGGGACGGCATTTTCGATCGTACAAGACATTACTTACCCTAGCTACGCCACTGACACTGGACAGTAGCTCAGTGGCCCCGACTATGCATGGGCATCATGTGGGCAATAAGTTTCGAGAGAGATCTTATTGCCCCGGGCAATATCATCGTATCTGTTATGAATTAAGGGCAGCAACTTCCCCATTCATGTTTTAATTTGAACCTTTTATCTGATGACATCCCCTGAAAAAGTGTTTTGGGATTATTTTTTTTTTAAAACCCGAGTTCACGACGTCACGCACGACAGCTTTTTTCCCCCTCGTAAAACATGTGGAGTCCGTGGGAAGGGCGGTTTCGAAAAGGTAGCAGGACATACCAGAAGCGATAATAAATATTCCGGAACCGAGTGACCTTTTTTTTTTTATTTGGAAATTGTATCAAGATAAATGAAACTGAATTGAATGAACGTGTTGCTGATAGGCTAAATTGTTGTTTGTTTTAACAGCGTCCTAGTAAAATATTTGTAAGTTAAACAATAAATAAACGCTTTTCAAAAAAACGTACTCAAAAATGATACATTAAATGTCTGCCACGCTTTTGTTGTCGTATGTGGTAAACATTTTGTTGTCAAGTGTTGAATTTTATAGGGAAAGAGCAACGAGAAATCATGCGTAAGATAACCCGAAGTCCTTATGAATTTCTGCTCCAGATATATCTGAAAGGTCTCACTCAAGGGCCAGGTGGAGGTCACTGGTGACCTACTGATCATGAAGTGTTGTATTGTCGTTGGTATAGGTCACATAAGGTCTCAGCTCAGTCAAACATCGGGAGGTGGTGCAAAATTTTGAAGCAAGATTTGACCTGCATGGGTCACTCGGGGGTCAGTCGAGGTCACTGGTGATCGTGAAGTGTTGCAATATCATCGAAGGTCGGTAAGTGTACAACGTTTGACATCAACAAAAACATCCGAAAGTGGGTCTAAATTGAGATGCAAGTTTCCCCAGAAACTAACAAGAAAAAGGACAGTGGCCACCTGAGATAAAGCGTAGAAAAAAAACAAAACAAATCGTTTATTCGATTTTCTGGTTTTATTTTTATTTTTTAATACAACTATAACTCAAAATAAATCATTAAACTACATTAAATTGCCATCTTAAATTTGTGCGGTTTAAAAAAAAAACAAACTTGAATGTAATTAATCTTCTGGTCTGGAGCAAATAGAATTTCGGTCGTGACACAAGCAGGATTAGCCACGTATCTTGTGCGAGCTTCGAGAAAGATGCTTTGGTCTATTGACAAACCAACGTAAATCAAGTGACCGAGATTCGGTTCCATGTTACCTCCCTTTAAGAACACTGTTTTGTGCGTGTGTTTGTAGTGGTGGTGGTGGTGGTTTGGCGGTTGGGGGTGGCTGGTGGGTTCTATAGGGATAGCCTTAAAATATTCATCAATCAACACAAGTGGGGTGGCATTCAATAGGGACAGTCAATACAACCAGGCTATTACAAACAGTGTTATGTAAGTCTGATATGGACGTGTCAAGAATATTCTGATTTTTGCATGCAGTGCTGTACGACTGTGTGTGTGCTTTATGTGCTGTATGTGCTGTATGTGCTGAATGTGCTGTATGTGCTGAATGCGCTGTATGTGCTGTATGTACTGTATGTGCTGCCCACAAAGTCTTCATGTTCAGAAGAGGCATGAACAGGTTGTTCAGACGAGATTACAATATTTACAGTAAACTTTAAGGATTTAAGACATCAACATATATGAACGGAGACATGGAGAATGAACACGTACAGGGAAAGAAATAGTCAGATATTAATATCTCCAGAGAGAGAAACGGTAAGAATTGAACATCTGCAGAGAGAAACAGTAAGAAATGAACATCTCCAGAGATAGAAACAGTAAGAATTGAACATCTACAGA